CTATCCGTCATACTTCTGTGGATGTGAAGATGGTTTCTCCGAGAACTGTATTCCGAGCCACCCTATCTTATGGCTTGTCTTGTTTCGTATCTAGGAGGATAGGTTAAAAACTACTATGCTTCTCTGGTGTACATCTTCACATTGAACTCATAGCGATTCGAAACTCGGACGCAAATTTGAGCACTACTCTTGGCAATGCTAAAAGTATTTGTTTGCCCCGTTGTTCAACTCTCGTTGTATATTCTCTAAATAAGAATACTAAAATGAGAAGTTATGGTTGATGCTCTTTTTATCCGATCGATTCCAAGGAAATTAACTCACTAAATCATCTTTGAGTGGTGGCTTTCCCCATCGACTTCGCTCTCTATTGCTTCCATTCTCTCTCCCTTTTATATTCGGTCCTAAATTTCTATCCTTTTACTTCCTAAGCTCTGCAAGCAAGCGCGCAGTACTCATATCGTAGGCAACGGCATTGACATGGAGCTCCCTTTCTTTTACCATATTAATAGTCCCTATGAGCGCTCTCTATGCTGCTACAAATTCCTTGCTTACAGCCCCCTTTGTCAAAATCAGATTGCCAACGCTCTAGTGTCTCTTGGAAGCTGCAAAGCATGGATTATACAGTTCGTAGTCGCGTCATCGGACAGAAATATCTGAACTGTCAAGCTATTATCTGAACCTCAGTATGGCTCAATAGGGTTAGATCGCAGGTGGTCCCCAAACTGTATATAAGTGACTTGTTCCTCAAAACCTCTTTCCTGCCTGCGTTTGTCCTATTATTAAGATACAAGACCTTGATCTATACTTGTCCTTCACGTGAACAATATGCTCGGCGCCCGGGACAAATTTTCCAAGACTATAATGTCTCTCTGATGTTGTTATTCGGCTTGAAGTCTGCTTCCTAATGAATAGGCTCACAATTTCCTCATGTCCTTGCTGTTCGGCACCAAAAGGGGGTCCTGTCCATTTTCAAATTCGTATAAATGTCAGCGCTACAGATTAGCAAAATCTAAACACTACTTTCAGAACCGCATTTTGCCACATAATGCTTAGGTATTAGACCATAAGCGAGCAACACCGAAACAAAAAAGGGGGGGGGATGGTCAAGGAACTCTATTTTGCAGCACTAAGTAGCCCCGTATAGCTTACCCTCTCAGGACAGCTATCTCTTGTCTTTTTATTATTCGCGTCGTCTTTGAGAAGCATAAAGTTTACTTATTGCTGTCTTTAACAGTAAGTAGAAATACACTTTCTCGTAAACCTAGAATAGCAGACTGTAGCGTCAAATCTGCAGGTTCTAGGAAATCAATTTACTACTGGTAATTGGTGTTCTTTTGATACATGTCTTAAATATCCATGCTGACTGAAATTTTGATTCAAGAATTAGATTCTAGTGAATCATGCGAGGGCTAATCGGCAGTTCCCCCTAAGCTTTCCTCACCCTCAAGCCGCAGCGGCCGATTGAAAACTACTTTTGTTGACTGGCGGATTGAGACTTAGCAACGTTAAAAATAAAACATAATAGTCGGTCATCTTTCTTCGCTCGCTTGTGAGTATATACTAATTCAGCCTGAAGCTAGCCTATAAAAATATCTACGGGTCAAAGCTCACTTCATTTCCGTATTTTGTTTGGACTGGCAGCGCACTCTACTTCCACATTGGGCATAGCCAGATTTTCACGCAAGCTGGTAGCGAGTAATCGTAGGTCGTTCAGACCCACCTATCAAGGATACTCCGTACCTACTGCGGGGAAGAAGGGGTGGAAATCCGAACGACATATAGTAGGTCGGTCTCGGATTAAGCTGAGTCCTCAGATCATAGAAGCAACTTGAGGCATAGCGAGTGGAACAGCAAGCCTTATTTCGTGGCTAGATATCCCGTATCCTCTCCTGATCTGATGTAGAGTACAGGACTGAAAAGAACTACTCGTACCACTACTCCGTATATGTTGCACTGTGTGGCTCAGCATCTTCTTTTCAAACCATGGGCGGACCTCCCGGATCGTCCCGCGGTTGCGTCACTTGCAAAAGACGAAAGCTTAAGGTAAGATAGCAAGCACATTTGTACGGTTCGGGTTGGATGCTGACCCTATCACCTGCAGTGTGATTTCCAGCATCCGTTCTGTAGCCGTTGTCGTAGGTCAGGATACAAGTGCGAAGGGTATGCACGCGCCACTGTTTTCGTCAACCGCGATGATAGCTCCATAGCCACGTCCGATCGCAATGTATTAAACGCAGCACGACGAGAGAATTCCTATCAACGCCGAAGACCCCAGAAAGAATCGGGAGCGAAACCTCTCAACGAGAGGGGGGCGGCTTCAACTTTAATTTTCGATTATAGCTATAGTAGCGTTGCGGCTTTACCCGCGCTTTGGCAGAACTTTATGGATGCGTGTGGGCCGAGATGGAGAGAATGGGATTGGGCTAGTGAGGCTCAACCTTGCTACCGACCTCTATTATGTAACGCCCTTTTCGCAGCCGCCACCGGCTCGGCTGGTCGTCGACGCTCAGACGAAGGGCTTGTGCTCCAAGCCATGTCGGCTTATTCAACTGCATTGCAGCAGATGTGTCAAAGCATGCTTTCCTCAGACCCACCACCTAATGGACTTCTGTTGACTGTCATTATGGCTTTCCAGACTTACGAGGTGCGTTGTTTTTCTTTTTTAGTTCTCTCTTTCTCTAGTTCTTGAGTAAAAACTAAGCTATCGCCACTTACTGATCGAGATCTTCATCACTAGATGTCTCAATGCACTGGCTCACTTAGGTCTTGGGCAACACATATTCAAGGAGCATTAGCTATTATGAAGTCGGAAGATCCAAAGGCTCGTAGGAAAGCCAGGAATCAGAATATCGTATGGATCTTAGTAGTAAGTGAACGAATATTACCTTAATATACAACCGGACGACTAAAGGAAAATAGTTGTATTTGGGGCTTTTATTACCGAAACCAACGCCTATGTTGAAGCCTGTCAAGCCCACTAGAAAACTAGAAGCCCCGAAACCTTTCTCTCAAACCGCTAGCTCCATGGAAGAGTCCCAGATAGAATATCAGGCAGAGTTAGTCGAGCTTCTAGATACATATCAACACCTGGAAGATGATTTCCAGAAGTTTAGTCTCGCATCCCCCAAATATCTAACCACTAGGACGCAGCAACTACTTGTTGATGCCGATAATTTCGAAAGGAGGCTAGTCTGCTGGTCCGAATGTCTGCAAGGAGTCAAACCCAGTGATGGTTCTGTTCCCCAAAACCAGGAAGCGAGCGACGACGAATGTTTCCCTACCAGGATCGTCTTCGAAAACAGATGGATTGCGCATGATCATGTTCATTACTGGAGTACGAAGCTTCGACTGTGTGAACTCAAATCAAGGGTGCTATATCGGACATCAAGTAAGTAACTTACTTTTGCACGGTACCAAGATAGAGCTAACCTTGTTCAAGGGTTAGATAAATGTCAAGACACGGGCGCCTCGGAGCAGGCTTTGGATGAGGAGATGGAATCTCTCGCAATCATGATATGCAAGTCACTTCATTGTTTTCGGGAACTGACAAACACATCGTTGGAAGCTCCCCGGGAGGTGTTATACCCTTTATGGATTGTTTCCAGACACTTCTCGAAGAGTCGAGGATCTGAATGGCAGTGGTGTAAGCGTTTCAGTCGTCTCATCATCGCGGATGGGTTACAGATTGCTGAGTATCTCGTCGACCCGGATCCTTGGACTATGAAATCAGCGGGGCTCGCTTCCGACCAATGCTTGGATCATAAGGATGGATTTATTGCTTTGAAGTAGCAGTTACTTACGAAAGTCGCGTATGATGCCCTGCGATCTGATTCAACAATGTTTATAAGAGATTTCAAAGGTTAAATATGGCTCTGAACTATGACTGTGACCAATTATCCAATGCATTTATAACCGGATGTAAGTAGTGAATTTAGCCATCGGCTCTTCCCAGTAGAAAAGCATAACCTCACAACTAAGGAATCTGATTGGTAAACCTTATTTAGAATGACTTTGATAGCAGTTCTCACTAATTAGAACTATTAAAACTATTATGTTATAATGCCACAACAAAATATAGATAAAAATTTGATGTGTTACAAAATACGAATAAAACCGGCCGTGAACCTCACCGCACTACCTGCATTTCGTGTTACACCAACGCGATCACTCACCATATCGGGACACGGGGTCAGGTGATAGCCGTTATACCGATACCCTACCATGCCAACTCCCAGTTCCTTTCAACACGTATTTCACTAACTCACCCAGCTGATAGAGGCATCTGATCAATGCCGCATCTAGAGTGGGACAAGGATCAAATACGTATACCCTTCCTGCCTGGCAGCGGAAGTGCATCAGATCTCCCGCAACGCCACATATACTTCCGTTCGCCCCCTCCCCTTAATCACGTAAAGCAATCAGCCTCAAGCGGACAAAATCTCAGAGTTGAAACAGTACTGCACTCGATGAGATGTAACTTGAAAAGGCTCTGATATCGCCCGAGTTCTATGGGGTTTCGAATTCCGTTCTAGCCGTTTCGAGATGAAGAGTGCGAGGTACTGCGGCCAGGCAGGCGACTAATGAGTGTCGGCTGTAAAGACGCAGTGTTTGTCTTCGCGGTCTGCATCTACTGCAATGCCGATGTTACTCAAGGGAGTACCGGCAGCTGGACATTCACTTCTTCATATTGCAGGTGGATAAAAGGGTTTCAGGAATTCCCAAATCGAGACATGTACTTACTTACCAAGTCGCTGTACATTTTACAATGCGTACGAGTACTCCCTTGCTGAATTAGATCGACGCATACTATATCAATCTTGGGTTATGGATCACCGCATTCAACTTCCTCAATCGAGAATGCCTCCGAATGTCTAGACGGTGGTGCTGATACCTAGAATTGTACAGTCTGATGAGAAGTTATATAAGAGTTTGTTGAGTGCACTGTGATTTGTTAGAGAGCACTTACTTGTTACTCAACCATCGAATCTCCAAACACCGAAATGTCGTGCCCTGTCCACAGCGAAGCCAATGGTACCGTCCTAGTGCAGGAGGCAAAAACTTCCAGTCCTACAAAATTAATTCCTATACCTCAACCACCAGATCATTACTTCGGACTGTTGGGCAATCTACCTGATATCGACCCAGAATTCCCCATGAGATCGCTCTGGCATCTCGCCGACCTGTATGGACCGATCGTGAAACTTAAAATTGGGCAACCCGTTGTCCTGCTCTCGAATCAGGAATTCATCAACGAGATGTGCGATCAAGATCGCTTTGAGAAGAAGCCCAACGTAGTTCTGATGGAGGTCCGAGCTCTGCTTGGGGATGGACTGTTCACTGCAAAACCTGGAGAGGCGAATTGGGGCAAGGCACATCGCCTATTGATCCCTTTATTCGGACCTCTTGGTATCAAAAACATGTTTGACGACATGATGGATATTTCCTCGCAGATGATTTTGAAATGGGATAGGCAAGGGCCAGATCATGCTATTGACTGCAGCGATAATTTTACCCGTCTTGGTACGTACCAAAGCTTTTCTAGTCCAGACACATACTGATTTAGAAAGCGTTTGACACGATCGGGTTATGTTCTTTCAGCTATCGCTTCAACGAATTCTATCTCGAGCAAGCCCATCCGTTTGCTCAGCAGATGGCCGATGTCCTGATCGAATCGGGTAAACGGGCGAGCCGTCCCGGGTTTTTGAACCAATGGTATTATACGGACGAACGAAGGCGACAGGAGAATGTCCAAAAAATGCACGAATTGACAGACGAGATTATCGCTGAAAGAAAACGCAACCCCCAGCCGGATTCGAAAGATCTGCTGAATACCATGTTGAACTCAGTGGATAGAGAGACAGGAGAGAAGCTATCAGACGAAAATATTCGCTTCAACATGTGTACCTTTCTGGTTTGTCAATATTGTTCCTTAATGGCTTCGTTGCTTACAAAAATAATATAGGTCGCGGGTCACGAAACCACAAGTGCAACTTTGTCCTTCTGCTATTACCAACTTGCGAAACACCCGGATAAATTACACAAAGCTTACCGAGAAGTGGACGAGGTACTTGGCAACAACATCTTGGAGTACAGTCACATAACTAAGCTCAAGTACATTGATGCATGCCTCAAAGAAACACTCCGTTTGAGCAATCCCATTGGCGCGTTCAATGTGAGCCCCAAGGAAGACACAATCATTGGTGGGAAATACTTCGTGACCAAGGACACCGTGTTGCAGGCCAATCTGAAAGGTCTTCACACCGATACCAAAGTATGGGGAGAGGATGTTGATGAATTCAGACCTGAACGGATGCTGGATGGCTGTTTTCAAGCACTTCCCCCAAACTCCTGGAAACCTTTCGGTAACGGGATGAGAGCCTGCATTGGCCGCGCTTTCGCAGAGCAAGAGATGATTATGAATGTTGCTCTTGTGCTTCAACGCTTCCAGATTGAGCTTGCAGACCCAGCCTACGAATTGCAGCTTAAATCTACGTTGACAACCAAGCCGCTTGACTTTGAGATAAAAGTTAGACGCAGACCTGGGAAAGTATTCACAACAGGAGTACCTCCTGGCATTCCTTCCGAAGTCGCCCGGAAGTACCATGATCCATCTGCTCATGTTGGGGAAAATAGGGACGTTAGTAGTAAACTCTCACCCATCACAGTTCTTTTTGGGGGGAACAGTGGGACCTGTGAGGGTTTCGCTCAAGATATTGATTCTAAAGCAGCGGGATACGGCCTCCAAGCAAATGTACGGAGTCTAGACTCCGCTACTGAGAATCTCCCAATAGACCAACCAATTGTGATCATTTCAGCCTCGTACGAGGGAAAACCTCCAGACAATGCCAGGAAGTTTGTTACTTGGCTGGAGCAGTTCAAAGGCGCCGATAAACTTGAGAATGTCAAATATGCAGTTTTCGGTGTTGGAAATTCGGACTGGGCAAGCACTTTTCATCGAATTCCGAAATTCCTCGATGAAAATATCGCATCTCGTGGGGCCACTCGCTTTCTGGAAGCTGGATACACGGACGTCAAGACTGATCTCGTTGGTCCTTGGGAAGACTGGTCGGAAAGGCTCTGGGAAACACTCGGAGCACATTCCGGTACGACAAGAGTGGCCGGTGAGAGCACAATCTCGGTTTCTGTGCAGAGTGATCAGATCACTCAGATACTTGGCGGCGAGGAAATGACGTTAGGAACTGTGGTTGCTAACAATGAGCTGGTGGGAACAGAAGTGGGACCTGCAAAGAAACATATGGAGGTCAGACTTCCAAAAGGAGACGAGTACACAGCAGGCGACTATCTCGTTGTTTTGCCTCGCAACCCAGAGCAAACTGTAAGGCGAATCCTCAACCACTTCGGACTTTCAGACACAGATGTCATGTCCATCACTGGATCAAGAAAGAAGTTCCTGCCCAAGACTCCAACGACGATTGGCCATTTCCTCTCAACAGTGGTCGAGCTCAGCACTCCCATCACGAAGCGCCAAGCCGAGGCACTCATGGCATATGCAAGTGCGGAAAGGCAATCTGCCATTGCAGAGCTGAAGGAGGACGCAGTTTACCAGACGTATCTCCAAGAGAGATACAGTATCATCGATGTCATTGAAAAGTTTCAACTCAATGTACCTTTCAGTACTTACATCGACATGCTGCAACCATTGACACCGAGGAAGTTTTCGATCTCATCTTCCCCAATATGTTCTTCAAACCGAAGCTCAACTACCGGTAAAGACCATGCCTACATCGCCTCCATCACCTATGATGTATTTGAGGCACCTGCTTGGTCTGGCCGCAACACCTTCTGCGGCGTGGCATCCACATTTCTTGCATCACGTCGCTCGGGCGACAAGATTCCCTGCTCCGTTCGACCCACCAAAGTAGGCTTCCGCTTACCTACCAGTCTTGAGACACCCATCATCATGATTGCAGTTGGAACGGGCCTTGCACCCATGCGAGCCTTCATCCAAGAACGCGCTGCTATCATTGAGGTCGGTGTGCGAAAGCTGGGCCGCGCGATCCTCTTCTTTGGCTGTCGCCATGAAGATAAAGACTACATCTACAAAGACGAGCTGCGCGAGTGGGAAACGAAAGGCGTCGTGGAGGTTAAGACGGCATTCAGCAGGATGGGAGACCCACCGAAGCATGTGCAAGATCTTGTTTGGGAGAACAGGAACAAAATTGCCGATTTGTTTCAAGCTGGAGCCAAAATCTTCCTCTGTGGAAGTGCAGCAAGACTCGGTAGGAGCGCAGCGGAGGTTTGCAAGAAGATTCATCGCGAAAGATCGGGGTGTGGTGAAAAGGAGGCGGATGATTGGCTTGAAACGATGAAGGAGGACCGTTATGTGAGTGATGTATTTGGGTGATCAAAAGATCAAGAGTTCTCCAGTCCATGGCCATACTGTATTTAGAACCATTTTCATAAAAAGTGTTTGTCACTTAGTTCCATCCCATCTATGTGTCTTGCCCAAAGCTTCCGCCGTTAAGCTTTTGCTAAGCATTGCTAGGCTATGCTAGGCTACTTATAGCAACGATCGCTTCCAAGATTAACACTGGGGCGGGATAACTAGTCTGGGGTCACGATGGCATAGCCAATAAGAAGCAATACACCGGCTAGAACATGCACCTCGCCGCAGGGCTGAAAGGGCCGCTCAGCTATCAACCTATCAAATTAATTTTAGTACCTGAAACTGGCCTCTGAGTGGTTAGCTCTACGACACATTTTGATTGCATTAAGGCACAAAGCCTTGGCGGCTGAAACAGGATTCCATTCACAGCTTTTATGACGCCGTATGAATACCCCAAACCGGTCGGTCTTTATAAGGCGCAAGTCTTCAAGAAGGCTCCCGGCTCCGTCGTTCAACACCATTATCCTTTCGCCATTGGAGAATTGGTCCTCTCACAAAGTCAGCCTACATTATTTTCTTTAGTGGAACAGCCTTGCCCACCTATCTTCCGCGGCGCATCACCACAGCCATGGATGTCACCGATCTCCTCAACCTAGTCGCACGAAAGACCAAGACGAAATACCCGAAGAAGAAGTCCAAGGTCAAGCCAGGAATCATCGCCGCAATAGTCGTTATCGTGATCGTTGTAATCATTATCGCATGCATCGTTGCGTTCTTCGTCATACGCAACAAAAAGAAGAAGAAGGCTGGGTTTGGAGGTGGGAAGATAGAGGGTGGACCAGGACACCATGTGGAGCAAGGAACACCAATGGTCGCCCCTCCGGGAGGCAATAACAGTTATCAACCCCTCCAGCATCAACCGGAGCACCTGCCACCACAGGGGTATCCGCAACAGAGCTACCCCATGGCTGGAGCACAAGGCTATGGTGAAGGAGGCTATCCTCCAGGACAACAGGCTACGGGGCATACGGGCGCAGCAAATGATTACTATCGGCAGCAGTGATTGATGGACGGGCGAAGTTATTTTGTAGGTTTGGTTTATTGGGGGAAAGGTGGAGGAGCACAAATGAATACATTGTGGATGTTGATTGGATCCATTTGCAATATCGATATGACTTTTTAGGAGATAGGCTGGTGGGAAAGGTTGTCAAAGGGATCCGAAGCGTTGAGATGTTTAGCCAATTCGGAGGTCTGCTCCCGTTGAAGAAACTCGACGTAGGACTTAGTTGGAAGCGGGGAGTCAGCAAGAAATAGTGCGCCGGTCGGTTGATAATCGGTTGATACCCATTACGATATAATGACAATGACAAATTTCTTTTGAGAAATATTATCGATGAATTTCGATTCCATTCGAGTATATGTCGAGACAATCACAACGAAAGAAATTGTTTTGAGCTGTCCACCAGGAGTTTTGTTGTATCACATCATCCGAGGTTCCTTTCCAGCTTTTCTTCATTCCACCTCTACTCGTCTCATTCTTTAAAAACTATTGATATCGCGGTTTGGCCTGGAGAAAGTGTCTCCGGCCATTTTGATGTCTTTGACAGCTTTGTCCGAGATTGTTGAGATTTAGAGAGAACCTGGTTTTCGTGAACTGTGTGGCCCCTGATCGTCGTTCAACTTTCCCAGAAACGAGAATCGAACCATCTCTCAGCAACGGGTACCCAATACGAAGGCTTTGACTGATGTTATAACATACGACAGCCTCTATCTCCACCGTGAAGACCTGACTGGCGAGCTCTAGTACACTTCGGCCTCCATTGTCCAAAGCTTTGAGGTCGCTCCTATGTTCGTGCAGGAGCCTAAGAAGTTTCAGTGAACCAATATACACAGCACAAAAGAGAGGCGTGTATCCGAGATAAGGATGCGTTTCGTCCACTGAGGCGCCAGCTGAAAGTAATGTCTTGCTCCTCAATGCCTGTATTTCAATCTTTATATATCTGTCGATGTCGGGAGAAATAATGTTGGATGAGACCTGAATCTTGAAACTAGGGATGCCTGGTGAGTCCATTGAATATGTGGCATCTTCTCAACTCGAAACAAAAACCTTTACTTGGGAGATGACCCAAAGACCTGTAGTCATTTTCAAATGTGAGAACACAAGTTTCCTGTCCGATTCAGACATCTCGTCTAACCCATCAACGAACATGATAACAGATGATAGGCTCTCGATTGAAGACTCAATCAGGCGAATCAGGTCTTCAATGTCTGGCTTCTTGCCATCCACGATTTTCACGCTCGACATTGCTCGCACGATAAAAGAGATTTCCGAGTGTTCCCTCGTTGAAAACGTCCTTCCCTTTCTCGTCTAAACTTTCCAGAAATCGAGCTATGGCAATCTTCCAAGGACCACATGAATCGTCGCCGTCAGATTAGGTGAGCACGGGAGTGAACAACTTATCGACCATGGTTGACGGTGTCACCGGAATTATAGAATGTTCAAGATGATGGGGAGTTCGTTGAATTCAAGGCTGTAGAGAATCCGCTAGTTCGCGAGGTGTGGGTGGCTGTATGCCTTGCATTCAGTCCTTCTTGAATACTAGGTTCTTATTGGTTCGACTTCAACCATCTACAGCCTTGTGACTTTACCATCTGGGATCACGCGAAGGGGATTATCGAGTAATCCGCAGGTTGTCTAGTTCCAGAGAAACGTCCTCTAACGAATCCGTGAATTCGACTTTGTCGGTTTCATTGCTTAGACCCTTCGTTAGGGATTGTAACTGGTTTACCAGCCCTGACAGCGCTGAAATACTGGTGACATATCTTTTCTGTACTCCCCCAGCCGCCTTTGAAAGTAGTGCCGTTGAGAGCTGAAGAGCTGCAATTTGCAGTTCCAGAATCAATGATGGGGGCGGAGTAGCACAAGGCTTCATAGATGCCGTGACTTTGATGGTCTCCATCCAATTTTCCTGTGGGAGAGATGTGGAGGGATGATCAACGACAGCAAGTAAAGCACGAACAATCTCGAGTCCAAGAGCAGCATGTGCTAGAGTAGCCGCGTCGTTGACGCTGTTTGACTCCGATATACTTTTGAGGATCGATCGAAGATCTTCGAAAACAACCACCCATCCATCTTGACCGAGAAATCCTTCCGTGCCATCTTCGGATGCCAGAATGACTTCCAAGGCAAGCAACACTGGGTAGCGAAAGTCAAGAGCGCCGAATGAACTGGCCTTGTAAAGCTCTATGAACATATCCATTAAGCCTGCGCTTTCGCTGCGTAGATTTTCGTTCTCGTCTTCGCGGATCCAGATTGCGAGAGCTCTGATTCCAGCTAGAATTAATGGGTCAGCCGTGACATCATCTTTCATAGATTCCCAAGTCAAAGTGAGTCGTGTGCCCTCTGAAGTAGCAGATGTACCGCTTCGTGCCGATGGATGTAGTCCAGAAGCCCCAGCAATGGATGCGTCCCACCTGTCCCGAAGATATTCGATTGTCAGTGACATGGTTTCTGCGATGTCTTTCCGTAACTTCAGCAAAAGATCCGGTGGCATGCTAAATGATGGAACTCCCGTCTCGTCATCTAGGCTCCTGACAAGGAAGCCTATGAAGCTTGAAATAATGTCAAATGCCGCTGCTAGCCGCTGTGAAATAGATGAATAATCGGTACTGTTGAGTTGAGCCAGCAGTGATGGAAATGAGGAGCGTAAATCTATAAGCAACAGGTTAACGAAAAGGTACGAGAAGGGCTTGTTGTCAGAATTTGCCGAGATGTCGTCTTTGAAAAGTAGGATTGGACATTGTACTGGGAACGCTTGAAGTAATGCGGCTGCTAGTCTGGTGTAAGCTGCTCGGCCAGCTGCTGTCGGTTTGCGAGAGACAAGCTTGCGGAGGCTTGAGACGAGTGGAACGAGCCAACTGGGATTGGGAGAAATTGCCTTTTATCTATTAGAATTTGGGTAGATAGAACATGGTGCAAAGACATACTTCGAGTACAATTTTGGGAACGAAGTTACCGAGAAACTCAAGTAACGTGACTGCATCAGTTTGACGAAACACAAGGAGCAAAGCTGGAATGACCTTGTCAATGTTCTCTCGAACTGATGCCACCTCATTACTAATGGTAGACGCATTCATCCAAGTGTAGCCGAAAATGTCGAGTACACGAGAATATTGGGTGGCAATTTCTATCAATGGAGAGAGATCATCAACGTGCAGGATCTCCAATGCTCCTTCCGGATGGCTTGCAAGTGTCAATATGGTCTGGAGAATCAGTTTTGTAGTTTCCGAAGAGCTGAAAAACTATTAGCACGTGATATCAACGAAGGACTCAAGGAAGCCGACCTTTGAACTAAAGCTTTGATCAAGGGGTTTATCCTTCCAATAATTCGTTTGTCTCTCAAAGAGTTCTCAGGCAAGAGGACGGTGAAGGTATGAAGAACAGCAACAGCAAGATCGACCATGTCTTTCGCCTCCGTTTTGCTGACATTGTCATTCTGTTGAGCTCGAAGTAGTCGATCCAAAAACTTCGGAGACAGAGCTTCCCAAAGTACATGTATGCGAACCGGATCTTGCACTAGCTGCCCATTGTCGAGAACACTCTTGAGAAGAGCAAGGCCAACGAATCTAGATGTATCATCCTTCGCTTTGAGTAGTTCTTGCATCTTTTCGAAAGTTGCAGAAGGATCAGTGAGACCAGAAGGTCCTGCTGAAGCTACCCCGGCCATGTTTGAAATCTTCCTGGGAATCACAAAAAAGCTGGAAGTTTTTTTGATATTGACGCGTTTTCACCACCGGTACTGTAGAAATACTCGAGTATGTCGGAGCGGAAGAATATTTCGCCGACTGCATCAGGAACTCCACCAGGTCTAGACTCGAGATTATGTACTTTACGCCCCTTAATAGAAACATGCGACTGGAATACTCAGATGTTTGATTATGGCAAGCACAGCAGCGGGCTACTTCCGGCCCAGCGGACAAGAAAGTTCGTCGTCGCATCGAAGCCCCCCGAATCCAACAGTCGACGACGAGAGCGAGAATGAGAACGACGATCCTGTCGCAAACCATTCGAGAGAAGAGGCATTGCTTTCTGAGGACCCTCTAGAGGAGAATGGACCAGAGATCATGTCCTTCAAACGTAAGCAGAAGCAACCGACAGCCTCGCGATTTCTATCTGCCCTTACAGGCAGCAACAGCCCCGCGCGTCAAGCTACGCCCTCTCCCCGACCTGGAACACCCAGCCTACATGGTTTAAATGCTATAGGCGGAAGTACAGAGGGAACTAATAATCTAAATTCAAAAGATGGAGGCCCACTCGACTGGTATGTGGAAGGCCCGGGCCGAAGAGTTGGGTACGAGGATATGACCGCAATCGACTGGATTTTCGAATACACAAAAGAACGACAGCGTCTGCGAACTCTGTACTCGAGTGCTACTGGAATACTGGGTTATGTACAACAATCTCTAGACGCAAGTCAGATCTGGGTGGTCTTGATTTTGACGGGGCTTGCAGCGGGCGTCTTTGCGGCAGCAATAGACGTGGTGAGCGACTGGCTTGGAGATTTAAAGACAGGATATTGCTCTGCTGGAGAGGATGGTGGCCGTTTTTATTTGAACAAATATTTCTGCTGTTATGGATACGACGGATTTTCGCAATGTAGAGATTGGCTGTCTTGGAGCGTGGCTCTACATGTGACATCAGCTGGAGGTAAATGGTTTATAGAATACTTCTTTTTTCTCTCATTTTCGGTAAGATGACATGCCACGACTCTCAGAATATTGCTAATATATGGTTTGGAAAGGTTGTTTTTGCTCTCTGCGCAACTTTGTTGGTTCAGGAGTACGCATTGTTTGCGAAGCATAGTGGGATACCCGAGATCAAGACCGTGTTGGGAGGCTTTGTTATACGGCGTTTTATGGGAACATGGACTTTAGCTATAAAGTCCCTTGGATTAGTAAGTGAACAACACTGATGCTTCTGAAGCAATTCTAATGTGTGACAGTGTCTGGCAGTCGCATCTGGAATGTGGCTTGGGAAAGAAGGCCCACTTGTTCACGTAGCATGTTGCTGCGCGAATCTTTTTATGAAATTATTTGGCAACATCAACGGAAATGAAGGTAGCATGTCCTAATATCCTGAAAATGATGATTCTGACACTGCTAGCGCGGAAAAGAGAGGTTCTGTCTGCTGCCGCTGCAGCTGGGATATCGGTTGCATTTGGATCTCCCATCGGAGGAGTTCTCTTCAGTTTGGAGGTCAGTCGAAAGTCCTGGTGCATTATACCACAGCTAACTCTACGAAAGCAATTGTCGTATTATTTTCCCGACAAAACAATGTGGCAGAGCTTTGTCTGTGCGATGACGGCTGCTGTTACACTGCAGGCGCTCGATCCGTTCAGAAGTGGAAAGCTTGTGCTCTACCAAGTAACATACAGCACTGGCTGGCACGGATTTGAGATGGTACCTTTCGCAATTTTAGGTATCTTCGGGGTAAGATGACCTGATTTATATTGGGGCTTCTGCTAACTGAGTTTAGGGTATTTACGGTGGCCTGTTCATCAAGTTGAACATGAAAGTTGCTGAATGGAAAAAAGCTGCTACTTGGCTGCCTGGACCCGTTACCCAAGTTGCCATAGTAGCATTACTTACAGCACTAATCAACTATCCAAACTTATATATGCGAGCTCAGTCTTCTGAATTGGTCTACTCGCTCTTTGCAGAATGTTCCACAGTTGTTGACGACCAGTTTGGGCTGTGCAAAACGGGGGCTGCCACGGCTGGAACAATCTTTTTACTTGTGTTTGCAGCCATTCTTGGCTTTTTCCTCGCCTCGATTACATTCGGCTTGCAGATCCCAGCTGGTATTATCCTGCCTTCCATGGCGGTCGGCGCCCTTTTTGGGCGGGCAGTTGGAATCATCATGGAAATTTGGGTCCACAACCACCCAACCTTTTTTCCATTCGCATCTTGCGAACCAGACGTCCCTTGTGTTACACCAGGAACATATGCCATTATTGGCGCTGCGGCTGCACTTGGTGGAGTTACTCGAATGACGGTATCGATCGTCGTTATCATGTTTGAGCTCACTGGAGCTCTCACTTACGTCCTTCCCATCATGATAGCAGTCATGTTCAGCAAATGGGTCGGCGATGCATTCGGGAAACGCGGGATCTACGAGAGCTGGATTCATTTCAACCAATATCCATTCCTCGACAACAGCGAAGAAACCGTCATCCCAGACATACCCGTCAGCCAAATCATGACACGCGTCGAGGACCTAGTAGTTCTGACAGCAACAGGGCATACTATCAACTCCCTTACCAATGTCCTAGCCACTCACCCCTGCCGCGGCTTCCCCGTAATATCAGATCCGAGGGAAGCAATCTTGCTAGGCTACATATCACGAGCAGAATTAACATACAACCTCCAAAACTCCACCCAACCCCCACGCTCCCTCCCTCTAGAAACCGAAGCCTTCTTCTCACACCAACCGCTCGCCGACCCCCGCACAACGCTCGATCTCCGACCCTGGATGGACCAAACGCCCATTACTCTCCCCTCACGTTCCAACCTTCTCCTCACCGCCACCTACTTCCAAAAACTAGGACTCCGATATGTTCTATTTAGCGATCGGGGCGTCCTCCAGGGACTGCTGACGAAGAAGGATGTATGGTATGTGTTGAATGGTGCAGAGGAGACGAGACGTACGACGGGTGCGGATGAGGGGCTGACGAGGGAGGATGGGCAGGGTGAGCAGAGCGGGTTGTTGAATAGGGAGGAGAGTAGTGAAGATTTAACACCGGCTAGTCCGGTTGGTGATGTACCTATATTGTGAGGTGATATTATATAATTGAATTTAGCGTTGTTTTCTATCACCCTAGTAGGTTTGGTCAGATCCATCGTCGTCTTGTTTTGCGATCTTAGACTTGGTTAACCTTGGTCGTTTACCTCAAAGCAACGCTTTATTTCCTCGAGAAAAGGCTCGAGATTACATTCAGAAATCACAGTACCACTGAAAGAGAATTCACTATTGGACGTAGAATCGTAATAAGGAACTTAGCGTGGTATCTATAAAAGCACAAAACATATTCTCAAAAATTCCACTACACCCCAGGAATTCCCACATCACCATTCTCCCTCGCAACATTCATAAACACCTCCTCTAGCGTAGGTCCCTGAATGGTATAATCCTGAATAAACCTCTCTAATTCCCTCCCCCCTGCCGCACTCCCTTCCACGCGTCCTTCCTCCTCAACAACATCCCCCTTCAACCCCTCCATAACCCTCATAATAGCCCCCAACGCGCGCTTGTCATGTGGTAGATTGAAGCTCACTTGCCCATGCCCATCCACATAATTCGCCACCCGTCCCCAAAACCGCTCCTGCACAACCTGCTTCACTTCCTGCGCATTCGTGCCCGGGACTCTGACGGCGCGAACACTATACGCGCCACCGTGACTTTCTTGCAAGGAAGTAAGCGTACCAGTAGCCAGCATTTTGGTCCCCATGATAGCAACGTCTGTAGCGAGCGCTTCTGCTTCCTCCATACTATGCGTTGTGAGGAGAATCGCGTGGTTGACACTGATATCCTGGAGGGCTTTCCATAAGACACGTTTCGCTCCTGCGTCTTGACCTGTACTCGGTTCATCTAATAGCAGAACGCGGGGGTTGCCGAGAATGGCAATAGCGACACTGAGCTTGCGTCTTGTGCCACCAGAAAGAGCTTTGACGGACAGGTCTTGGTAAGAAGCTATGTTTAGCGCTTTGAGCACTTTGTCTACATTACCGACGACATTTTTGAGACCTTTAACAGTGGCGTAGAAGCTGAGCGTTTGGCGTACTGTCAAGTTATCGATCGCGTCGTCTTGGGGACAGACACCCATATTCAACCTTACACGATGCGGATCTTTCTGAACAGATACGCCATCGAGATGAATGCTGCCAAAGTCGGGCTTCAGTTCGGAGCGAATCATGTTGATGACTGTCGTTTTCCCCGCACCGTTTCCGCCGAGCAGGGCGAGGGTTTCGTTCTGAGAGATGGAGAAGGAAACGTTCTCAACAGCGAAGACCTTGCCGAAGAATTTGGAGATGCGGGAGACGTCAAGGATCTGAGATTTGTTGGCCCTTGCGTTCTTCTCCGCAAGCGCGGCTGCATTTTCTTCGTTGTTGGACTCGACAATGTAGTGGAGACGAGCGGGAATTCCGCGGTTGGTGATGTTTCGACGTATCCAGTCTGCGCTTCCGTACTCGTATACGCCAAGCACGGTAATGAGGAAGATTATTTGGATGAAGAGGTTTGCGTAGACACTTCCATACCGGACATATGCAAAAGGATTGCTGGTATCTGCGACTCCATACTTGCCACAAAGAATTTCGAAACTGTTGTTGGCTAAGAATAATGCTCTTAGAAGATTGGCACCTGGAGATGTCAAGCCGACAGCATATTGAATCGCCGAATACGTCTCGTGAAGGTTATCTGAATTGCCAAACGACTGGTTCATGATGTAGCCAACTAGATATATGGCGGATAGTAGAACATGAATACCAGCTGCGATTGCAAAAGCTGCCTTCTTGGTGAAAAGAGATAGCACGTAGGTACCGAGATAGGTTGCAATACCGAACAAAATAAACACCCCAAGAATATAGCTTGGGGCATACCAAACCTTTGCAGCTGGTCCCGTAAAGAGAATCCCCCAAACGATGAAAGCCTGGATGACAATGAGCTGGAGGTCGAAAAGCAGGTATCCAAGCCAGAGGGCAAAAGGCGAAACACCATTGCAATATTGAAGAGCTCGAACACGATTGTTCTTCTCGAATGCGGGATATATGACTGCGATGCTTGCCGCAGCAATAAACGATAGCGCAATCAAGACATCGATGGGCATCGATCTAAAGTCGACTTTGTTCTCGGCATGGCGCATTGATCGAATCGACGGGATCATCTGCTTGGCAATTCCAGTCTTCTTGGTACTATTCGCGATCCGATTGGTAATTATACTAAATCCGATCATACTTTCCCCGATTGCTTCTTCGTACTCAAGCGTCTTGTAGAACATCACTGCACTCTCATCTGAGGGCGCGAATATGGTGAAAGGTACGGTCGACTGCCGGGTGGAGTTGCTGATCTCGGCAATCATATCGTCTGTAGTATTGACGAAAGCTCGAGTGGCGAGAGCTTCTGTGGTCTGCCAAGTGCTATTTGTTGCGGACCTTGATCCCGAGTTGCTGAAATAGCGGCTGACAACCGATGCATAAAGGTCGTCTTGGGCGGTGTTGGTCCATTCGGAAGTTGGGCCTAGAATTGCCTTGGTATTGGATGATTGGTAACCTGAAGGATTAGATGTTGTATATACGTAGATTGAAGGAATGGTTCCGTCTTCGAGGGGTGCGAACGTTGGTGCGCTATAAGGAGACGAATAATTGCCACTGGAAGCCTCGTGAAGAAGTTGATCATTCGTGGCACATGTCTGAAGGGCATCGAATTTGGGAACGAACTTTACTAAGGCTGCTGCGATGATAATCGGGATTATGAGGTTAATAGCGTAGGAAATCCAGCCAGCTTTTTGCATGAGCAGCAAGTATCGCTTATTGAACAATGCCGAGATTTGTCTGGCAAGACCAATCGAATGTCCAATGTCGAGATCAATGTCCCTTGCATTCTCTTGCTCCAGAGCAAAGACTTTCTCATCGATGACCGTTTCATTTTCCTCTTCGCCAACAATACCATCACCGCCATGATCGCGAATTACGGTGTGGGAATCCGATGTGACTTTCAGAAAGACTTGCTCCAGTGTTGGAAAGACCACGTTGAAAGTGTTGTCTTCCGAGAGCTCTTCCAACTCAATAATCTTTCTGGTGGCTTCGGCTGAATTTGGAGACCGCCACACCAAATTGTCGTCCTCGGCATCATTATTGCTTCGAATTGAATAGTTGTCTCCAAATCGTGCTTTGAGCGAGGTTCCAGGTCCTTCGCAGACTAATTTACCTTTGTAAAGAATGGCAATGTGGTCAGCTAAGACATCAGCTTCGTCCAAGAAATGAGTAGTGACAAGTATAGTGCGTCGAGCGTGGCCTTTTTGTATGATATTCCAGATATTACGTCTTGAAAGGGGGTCCTTTGAGATGATTAGCATATTCCTTTGACATATGGTAGAAAGAAACTCTTACCAAGCCACTAGAGGCTTCATCAATACAGCAGACTTTCGATCCACCAACAAATGAAATAGCAAGTTGTAATTTCCGCATTTGCCCACCACTGAGAGTTTTTGCACAAGCACCGGCCTTTCCCAATAGGTCGCACTCCACCAAGACATCGTCATCGTCAACGGCGAGGTCTTCGAAAGCGGCAGTCTTAAGCTGTCTCCATATTTTGATATGCTCTTGGACAGTAAGTGAGTCCCAGAATACCTGAGCTGATTAGTAGATGTCACATACGGGATACCAGGACACTTACATTGCTTTGTGGACATATACCAAAGACCAACCCAGCTTCATTAAGCTCCAGCTGCGATCCGGGGTCCATCGCAGTCATACCAGCAGTGCACTTGAGCGTCGTAGTTTTCCCACCGCCGTTTGGACCAAGCAGGAATGTAACCGAACCTTTTTTGACTTCCAAGTTAAGATCGCTTACAGCCTTAACTGGCCCGCCCTTATTCATAAACGGCCAGTACCACGGCCGTTTCCCATAGTAAGTTTTCGAGAGACCAGTGCAGCGAACAGCCACGTCACTTGTGGCATCGATAGTGTCGAAGTTCCTCGACACTCCCCAGAGGCCATGCTCAATGCCATAAGCCGCAGCAGAATAGACTACAATCTGGAGGATAAAGAAAACGACGTAAAGATATCCATTCATAAATTGGTACTTTACCTCACCGCCATCTACATTGGTGTAGTCGGTGCTGTTTGGTGCAAGAGAGAAGGGCCGCAGGTAGTACTCTCTTGTTGCGACATCGCCAATGAGAGTTGCGTAAGTGCAGGGTGGAAATATGGCAGCCAATGCCGTAACCTGGGTCTGAGGGTTGTCGCTAGTCAAGGACGCGGCTAAGGTAACGAGGGCAAGTGCAAACGCAAGGGTTGAGGTGTAGAGCCCGGCGAGCTGAGCCTTAGCGAAGAAAGAGGCCAGAAAATGTGACGAAGCAATCAGGGAAGCACCAGCCAGAAGTGTGACCCACAGGAATAAGATGTCGGATGTTCTAGTGAATAATATCTTCGTCAAGAGAATTGAGCTGATGAGAAACCCGGGGAAGTAGACAGCGAAGAACGAGATGAATGTTGACAGTATCCTGGGTGTGATTGACACTTTTTGGGCTGCCATCAACTCAGCCATCGAAGTCTCTCTTTCCGTAGCTACGAAAGTCGCAAGATGGTACACGACGCCGATTAGGATGAGGATGAAGACAGGAGCAACAAACGCGCCGACTAGGTCGAGCCTTTAAAGTCTCAAGTCAGTCAGGTATCAACATCATGAGAGGAAAACATACCAGAATTCAGCATGGGTAGGAGGCGCTGCTGCGCTGGATAGTGATGAGTAGTGCGACCCCCCATAAGGTTGCACCGAAGGCCTTGAGACAGTCTGGAAGCCGCCAATATGAGAATCTAAAGCCCACTGGAGGGGCAAGACACGCTTGGCCATTACCGTGTCATCAGTTTGATAGTTACCATATCCATAACCCGAGAGCAATTTGTCGTCAAGTGCAATACTATATTCGACCGTTGTATCGTTTGAGGCCAGAAAGATGACAGCTGCAAAGCATTCACTGGTCCCTTGAGTAGACTGCTGGCACAGATAGAAGAGGTCATTGGGATCGTCAACTGAATAGCCTTGCATTGAGTCCATTCCAGACTGCCCAAGCACTCCATCGATAATTGGACCGAGGGTTTCATTTGAAACTCCATTTCGTACAAAGGCAAGTTTTTGTTTTGAGGCAACCTTCATAGCATCGGGTAGGTCCTTGACAGGGAAGGAAGTCGCGGAAATTCCAAATGGATCATCATAGCTCGATCCACTTTCTCGAATATGCTTGAGAAAGCTGAAAATGAGCGTAACAGCGATGGGGAAAACCAAAGCCCGCAGAATTAACGAGATAGGTGTTTTATAAAATATGAGGAAGTTCTTGTAAATGAGGGTGAGAGTCTGGCGATAAATTCTCTGCCATCGTGGGCGTTGGGTAGAGGTTGCCATCGTATATTAATAACTGTCAGACAACTTAGACCACCTAGAAGTTTTGTTCAGAGGTATGTCGTCTACAACCTATTCATCGGCGTCAAGAGGAGAGAAGAGCACTCGACCAACTCAGAATAAATGCAGGTACGGTTGATAACCACATAAAATAAAACATGCTCGAATATTGATTCGAGATATTAAGAGGAAACGAGGTAATATCTATGCGTAGAAATCGAGCTCTGAAACACAGTCTGCCTTGCACCTTGAAGGATCAGATTAGCGGGCAGCAGAGATCTCCATGGCCTAAAGAGGCGTAGCCAACAGTTTTGATTTCGATTGTGGCAGTGAAGTTGTGGAAAACGGGGACTAAGGGCGAAGCAACGCGAAGGATTTTGAAGATCCTTGGTCACTCATTAATTCAATCTGCTGCACTTGCAGGAAGATACGAGGTACAACATCGCCCGCGAAAGCAAGCAAGCTATACGGTAGTTGTAAAGACAACTCATGAATAACTTGTATTCACTGTCAGTATGAACGCTTAGACAGAAGAATTGCTTCGTCCCTACCTAGTAGGTAGATGCTGCGTTCAAACAGACCAGAGTGCTGCCTAAACAGGTAAACTAAGCCCTCAGTCATGTGATATGACTTATAGCCTGCCACACGTGACTAAGATCAGACACAGCCTTGCCTTGCAGGAATCGTTCATTCAAGAACAAGGCTCTCTGGTGTTCCTAGCATCAGAGCTTGGCCTAGCTCTCGCTGCTGCTTATTGTGATATCAGAATCATGGCGAAGCATCCAACGACCAATGACAAAGGACTGGGTCCGACTGACCCACCCACACAGCCCCCCGCCAAATCTGCTATCAATTTCCTCTCTCGAAAAAATTCCAAACATATTCGGATACATACTTATACGGGCAGTGGGTACGAGGGCCTCATCATGATACCGTAGATCTTGCCGACTCTTGAGTTAATCGATGAGCTCGTGTATAAAGATAGAAAGTAGGTGTTCTTTTAGGACGGCACAGTAGAGTGATCCTAGAGGAAATAAGGCGATGCGAATAAAGTAAAAGATACTGATGCCTAATCTGGAAGGTCTGAACGGGTTGTTGTTGCAGAGATAAAATAAATAAAGCCAGAGAGAGGGTTAAGAAAGTAAAAGCCTCAAACGAAGAGTATGATCACTGATTTATTTCTGTGCCTTGAGGTGCGCCCATTCACTGGATCGCAATGCAAAGGTCTAATCGGAGCTACAATCTCTTATTATGTAACTGTGGCTTCAGGATCAGAGGGTGGCGAGGGATTCTGCCAGGGCAGCGGCGAAGGCATTGGCTTCCGCCCGTAAACAACATATCTAGCACATATCAGCGTGGTCCGTCATTCGACTAAAACTCAACAGAAAGGGGGACTTACACCGGAACATACGCATGAATCGCCTTACTCTTGATATCTTTTCTCACATCCACCATCCCCACCTCCACCTCCTCCCTAGTCATCCCATGCGCCCGCGTCATAATCGCCATTGAAATCGCGGGTAAACCTTCTAGGAAATTACTCATACTCCATAACCCCAGTAGCTTCTGCTTGCGTCCCTTCGGCCAAGTATTGCTTGGCCATGCAAATCGTCTTTCCACCACACCTTCAAACCCAGCTTCTTGCATCCACCGCGCATAATCTTTAGTACAGCGCCAATCCCGCCCAATACGGCGAGCGCCCTCGTGCAGCTTACTGTTCCATGCTTTGATACAGGATCCCACGTGCGTGTCGTCAATAGAGAGGTAGTCAAATAGCACGTCTTGCATCTCCATGTACCCGCCTGGTTTTAGGGAGGCGAATGCTTGGTGGAAAATTTCCGCGGGGTTTTTAAAGCAGGTAAAAAGCATACGGCCGTGGATGAAATCAAATTTCTGGCTCCAGCTCCACTCATCTTCTGCGTCGTCGATTTCGAATTGGCAGTTTGGTGGCACGTATTCTGGTTGAATTGCACTGAGATCTGAAGGCAGGTAAGTAGACTGATACTGGGGAAGAGATGGGAAAGTACCTGTTCCTATGACCGTTGCGGAGGGGTTTCTCTCTGCATATTCCAGTGCCCAAAGTCCCGTGCCGGTACCTATGTCTAAGACACGCTGTGGATTCGAAATAGGTGCGAGGTGAAGCCTTCCATCAAGTGTAAGAGTCCAAAGGTGGTGTTGAAGATTTAATCTATCCTGCTCCACATCATCATTAGGCAGGTAGTATACTCCTTCCTTGTACTTATGGTACGCTCGTCCGTTCTCCTCAACTGACTCGTAAAGGCTCTCCCTCAAAGACACGGTGGAAGATTGAACATCAGAGCCGAGAGCCGAGTCCGTATCGCTGCTCTCTGAGTCTATGCGCAGGGATGTGGGATAATAGCCATCATCAACTTCGGGGTTGGGGTTCTGCACATTAGAGACACTGCCTACATATGCCTCGACAGGTGATGGGTTCCTTTGAATTTCCGTTTGACTGACTTCGGCCGCGACCATATCGACATCAGGGTTTTCATGTTGCGAAACTGGCTGGGGTAAATTTGAAGTCTTAGCTTGGTATGGCTCGGCCGCGGCTTCAGAAGGTAAATATGAGGTTCCAGCTTTGGTGGCTTGGGTGTCTGAATGCGCTTGAATCTGAGAAGTCGTCGTTTGGTGACCCTCGGTCTGGTCAGTTTTATCATCTAGGGCCATCTCTGTATCTTCTTGAGTTGCTTCAACTCTAGGGTGCTCATGTGAAACATCGGCGTGGTGCGCTTCGGCAATGGGGCGTATTCCCGAGTCCTCCAGAGGATTTTGCTTTTCCATCTCTCCGTATACACCGCCCAAGATAATGATATTGATAAGCCTGCTACAGGTTCTTTGAGATGATAACATGAAATAAGAGAACCTCGATATCGTAAAATGAAAGCTGGTGATCCGTACGAAATGCCCGACAGTGCGCAGCAGATGTGTCTTGTGTAACCCTCGTCGGCAATCAAACCATCGTTTATACAGAACCAACGAATCCAAAACGATTGAAACAATTAGATAAAGAACAAGACGTATAAATGAAGACGAAAGAGACTGCGCGCAAACAGAAGATACTTATCGTCGGGTTGCCGAGTCGGACCGGCGTCTAACTGACAGTATGCAGGTATGCAGCCAAGGGAAATGATCAGATTATCCGGATCCTATCTATAGGACGGAATCGAGACCGCAAACAGCTTCCTGAGCCCAGGATGCAACCTGCGCCCCTCTTCTACCGCAAAACCCTTCTAAGATTGGTTTGTCTCAGGTCTTGATAGGTAGCAGCATCGCATAGCTTCCTATAAGATTATGATCCGAGCGGGTGGTCGGGTTGGTTGTTACCACGTTTCCCCCACATGTTTTGATGAATCGAGAGGCCTTCAATCAGTGAGCTGTTGCGTGCTGATTTTACATGATATCTTTCGAAGATCTCGGCTTCCAAATTAGGTAGATATTGAACGGACTTTACTAGCGCCAACAGGATCATCACGTGCATGCACGGCCTCAAAAGTCCTTGTAGTCTTGTAGTGAGCATACAACGCTAGTCACTTTTCAGCGAAGCACGGCAACCGCAAACGCCGTGCTTCCAATATCAACTTTACAGATCATCATCACAGGCATCTATCTACCTTGCGAATAACTTCAACACCCTTCCTTCAAAATCTTTCTCCAACACCACACAATGGCCGACCGATTTCCCTCACTCGAAGACTTTGACTCCGGAGGTAAGTCTTATCCCATTGCCTCTACGGAGAAGCTTCCATCTTTAATATCTAAAAGGGGGGATCTGACACGCATCTTCAACAGCACAAACACAGGAATCTGGCACACCAGGCACAGGCGGCGATGACTTCCTAGCCCGCGAGAAAGCGCTGTTGGGCGATGACGCAGACCAATTTGCGACTGGCAATGATAATGCCGCGTTCGTAGAGGACGGAGATGATGATTTATTGGGCGGAGGTGGTGGTGAAGAAGTGACTGAATTCGAGAGCTCATTTCCTGTCATCGATACCAGAAATGATGTACGTTCCCCTTATTCCCCTCCTCTCCCTATAAACTAGATATCTAATAAATCGTTCGACCACGTAGGCAGTAGCACCAGGCGGCAGCATCACCAACACGAACCACTACCAAGCCTACAGTAGCAACGAAAGCGAAGCCGAGCCCGAAGTAATCACGCAATGGCGGGAGCGTCGGGACCTGGCTCTCGCGGCGCGCGAAGAGAAGTCGGCGGAGCGCCAGGCCGAGACTATCAAAGCGGCGCAACAGAACATCGATGACTTCTACGAGAACTATAACTCTAAGAAAGAGAAGAGCATTAATGCTACACGCAAGGATGCAGAGGAGTTTTTGGCGAAGAGGGAGGATACTAGTGCCGGTGGTACAAGCTGGGAGCGGATTGCGAAGTTGGTGGATTTGAGTGGCAAGGGTGCAAGGGGGGGCGCGATGGGACGGGCAAAGAGAAGTTTAGAGAGTTGTTGCTTAGTTTGAGGAAGGATGAGAAAGCACCTGGGGCTACTGGCTACTAGGTCGCTCTGCTTGAACTGCACTGTTGACTATTAGGAAGAATTGGTGGTGGACTTGTAAGATCTGATCGGTGTGCATTCATTGCTGGTTGTATTTGTCGATAGGCCTGCCTATTATCTGGCGGTTCTGGGCTCATGGGGCGTTGAAAATACACGGCACATATCACGACGTTCATTTAAATAATTAATAAACCTTCTGTGACTTTGTTTGATATTTTCTTAACTAACTACCTGGCTAGCAAACATCGCTCAGACCGCCAGATTCCAAATCCATGCCATGCCCCCAAGCTCATGCTCATCGAATCGTCATTTACATCATTCATTTCCCTTCAATATCCGTATTAAGTCACTCGGGATCACCATACTTATCGGAAAGTGCCGCGTCTTGTGCCTGTGCTTCAGCCGCAGCCGCCTTCTCCTGCTCCTCGAACTCCGCCAATGCCTTCTGACCTTCCTCCGTGGTGGCATCAATGATCTGCTCTTCAACAGATAACATACCGCCCTACTCCGAATTAGCAAACTCCCCACAATGTCATGAAAGAGCAAACATACCTCACTCAACTGCCCAACAACTTCTTCCGCTTCTTCCACACTCATCTTCCCCAGCACCTTATTGACCTCATCCAAACTTCCACTCTCCAACGCCCTCTGCAACCCCGGAGGAAACGCACTAAACAGCTGCCTCGCCTGAACCTGCGCCGGATCCTCACTGTTTTCTGGTGGGATTTTAATGTTAATCGTCGTTCCCGGATCCACGGCATGCAACTGAATTTGCTCTACACCTCCCGAGCCATCAGCCTCTTCCTGTGCCCTCTGCTTCTCGATCTCCTTCGCCCGAACCCTAATCCTCTGAAACGTCGAGTTGACATCATCGAAGAAGACTTTCTGAGCCTGGTGACCTGGCGTAGTGATGCGTTTGAAGAATAAACCGACTCCGTCTTTTCCTAGAGCGCGGCAGTATTGCAGCAGAAGAGCTTGGTGTACGCATTGCCGCGTGAATTCGTCCAAACCTTCGATGGCGGCGTTGAATGCCATGACGAGCAGACCGTCTGTTTCTCTCTCTGCTAGGACGGAGGGGTTCTGGGAGATAAATTGCAGTGAGCTGCGGTAGTCGCCTGCTTTGATGGATCCGAATTTCTTGCCTAAATCGGAGGCATACGGTTCCTCTTCGTCATCATCATTCTCTTCCGTATCTTTGGGCTCGTCGACGTCGGCTTCTGCGCCGGAGGAGTCGGCGCGGACTAGATTGTCTCTGAGGTCGCGGGCCTTGGGATTAAGCACTTCGACTGCTTGGACCTTTTCAGTCTTTGTGGTTTTCTTGTTGGTTTGGGGTACTGCAGTAGCTTTGGAGACGTGGGAGCTGTCAAAGCCGGTGTGTATGCTCTCGCTGGTGATCTTCTTGCCTTCCTCGATCTCTAGGCTGTTAAGCTCAGCTAACAGCTGCTTTTGCAAATCTTCAATCTTCGCTTGGTGTGCCTTGACTTCTTTGATGTATGCCGCAAAGCGATCATCTTCTTTATCCTCTTCAACCTTGGCCTTGACTTGGTCTACCAAGGCCGCCATCATCTTCGAATACTTGGGGAGCTCTTTTTCCTGGGTGTGTACCCCAGCTGGGCGGGGAGGAGGACTATCGTTGTCTGAATCACTAACAGATTCCATGATAGCTTGGAACATCAGCTCATCCGGACTGCGCTTATCTACCTCCCCCTTATGGGATTCCAGAGCTGTGACAAGCGCATTGATCCGCTTGAGCAGGCCCTCATTGATGATTCTCTCATATTTGTACGTCTCGATCTTGTTCTTCCGCTCGAAGCGCTGCTGGTGGATTTGGTTCTGCTTGGCGCGAATGAAAGACTTTTTATCGACGTTAGGGTGGACTTCGATGTCCGAGTCGTCGCTCAGTTCGAGAGCGTCCTGGAATTGTCAGCCTTGAGGTTCAGCCTGGTGGTTTGGAGGGGAAACGTGAGTTGTTGACATAGAGTGCTTTGTAATGTACATACCCATTTGCTGTAGTCCACAGGCATCTTGATTTAAGAAGCTTGTGATATGGGTAGAAGTCGAGGTAGTTATTCCAAGTTGCAGTTGTTGAAGGGAAGTCCAAAGTGTCATGAATAGAATGTTCTTTGAGGAGCCAAAATAACCCCACGTTGATGCATAAAGCAACTACCATAACTTCCTTATTCACTAAGTTATGCAAGTCACGCATTAAACACCGATGATGGAGCTGACTTGGAATTCGCCGACGCTACTCTACTTTAGAGTTTTGATTGACCCTTTGATTACTTCCCCAGAAAAATACTCTACTCTACATCTAGCTATCCGTATTTACCCAACGCGATGATGAGACTTCGACGAAGATATACTCCTGATATACCGAGGTGATATTGGCCAACTAGACACTCCTTACATAGGCAATAATGCGGCGAACTTTGGTAGGCAATGGATGGGGGTCCTCAGTCCTCGGTATAGCTTCCAGACACCTCACCAAGGCAAGCTCTACAACGACAGCTACTCGATCGCAGACAACCGGACTTTTCCATATACCCAAGAGGCACAATTCGAGCTTCAACAGCCCTCCAAATCCCTCGAAATTCCCCTTACAACCTAATACACCCCGCCTTACAAAGCTTCTTTCCCAACCTCGAACAGGCTTAACATCTCCATGGCACCCTGCAATATCACCATTACGACCTTTCAATAGCACATCCCACCTGCGGGATACGCCGAAAGATTCCATACGAGACGCGCCGAAAGAGACAGATCGCCAAGACCAGATAGAGAAAGCGCGGGCGCGGCGCGAGGAGGAGGAAGAAGACCAGCTCGATGAAGATGAAGGATTTCAGCGGAGCGAAAAGGCTTCCAAAGCCGCACAAGTGAACCTGAGTGCCCGACTTTCGAGTACCAAGGCGCAGAAGAATTCGGCGGGATTCGGGGAGATATGGAGGCTAATCAAGATCGCAAAACCAGAAGCTAAATGGCTGGGTCTAGCATTTGCGTTCTTGTTGGTATCGTCTGCTATTACGATGTCCGTTCCGTTTTCTATTGGCAAAATATTGGATCTTGCAACGAAGGATCCCTCTGAGGGCAATACGTTGTTTGGCCTCGAGATGCGTGAATTCTATATTGCTCTGGGGTGTGTTTTGACAATGGGCGCTGCCGCAAACTATGGACGTATCATTATCCTACGAATAGTGGGAGAGAGAATTGTTTCTAGGCTACGGTCTCAGCTGTACAGACGGACATATGTTCAAAATGCCGAATTCTTTGATGCAAACCGCGTTGGAGATCTCATTTCACGTCTGAGTTCCGATACTGTTATTGTGGGCAAGAGTATTACCCAGAATCTATCTGATGGATTGAGGGCACTTGTGAGTGGTGGAGCTGGATTCGCGGCTATGGCCTGGGTTAGCTTGAAGCTCACAAGTATCTTGTTGCTCATGTTCCCTCCAGTAGCCATAGGAGCATTCTTCTACGGACGGATGATTCGGAATCTGAGTAGGAAGATCCAACGAAATCTTGGAACGCTGACAAAGATTGCGGAAGAGAGACTTGGCAACGTACGAACTAGCCAAGCATTTGCTGGAGAAACCCAAGAGGTTGGGCGATACAATCATCAAATCAAGAAGATATTCGCGTTGGGAAAGAGAGAAGCGATTATCAGCGCTACATTTTTCAGTACCTCTGGATTCTTTGGAAATATGACAATTTTGGCTCTGTTATACTCTGGAGGATCTATGGTGAAGAATGGCACGATCAGTATTGGAGACCTCACTTCATTCTTGATGTATACTGCCTATGCAGGATCAAGTTTGTTCGGTGTTTCCAGCTTCTACTCTGAGCTCATGAAGGGAGTCGGAGCCGCCAGTCGATTGTTTGAACTGCAAGATCGCAAGCCAACGATTCCTGCAACGATTGGTACCAAAGTCATATCCGCACAAGGGCCAATCAAATTCTCGAACGTCCATTTTGCCTATCCTACGAGGCCGGCCGTCAAGATCTTTGATGGCCTAGACTTTGAGATTCCATCTGGGACTAACGTTGCCATCGTGGGACCTAGTGGTGGTGGGAAGTCGACCATCGGATCGATGCTTTTGAGATTCTACAGCCCAACTGAGGGTTCAATATCGATCAACGGGACAAACGTCTCAGACATGAACGCCAAGTCCCTTCGCCGAAGAATCGGCATGGTTGGACAAGAGCCAGTCTTATTCTCCGGTTCTATCGCAGACAACATCGCATACGGTAAACCCCATGCATCACGTTCAGAGATCATCGCCGCAGCACGAAAAGCAAACTGCCAATTTATCAGCGACTTCCCCGACGGCCTTGATACATCCGTCGGAGCCCGCGGCGCTCAACTCTCCGGAGGACAGAAACAACGTATTGCTATCGCGCGAGCCCTGCTTAAGAACCCCGACATCCTCATCCTTGACGAGGCTACCTCGGCTCTTGACGCCGAGTCCGAGACACTCGTCAATTCCGCTCTTGCAGCACTACTCCGTGGTCACAACACTACCATCTCTATCGCGCATCGTTTATCAACTATCAAGCGCTCAGACCGCATCATCGTCCTCTCAAATGACGGCAAAGTCGCCGAGACAGGCACATACACAGCGCTATCCCAAGACCCACACTCAGCGTTCTCAAAACTAATGGAGTGGCAAATGAGCGGCGGGGACGCGGCAGATAAGCGGGCTACGGAACCCGAGGGGCATCTCACGGAGACAGAGGAGATTGCGGATGATTTAGAGAAGATGGATGAGGGTGAATATGAGGGGTTGGACGAAGAGCGTGGCGATATTAAAACGGGCACGCTAGAGAAGGGAGATAAATGAGTGGAAAATTAAGTCAAGTGAAGTGAAAGTAGGGGAAGAGCATTGGATGGCTATGGATGCATTATAGGAACAACATCGCTTCTCTTATGTTCAATTTGTTCTTCGGCGCTTGAAATGATATATGGTTTGGGTTGGGTAACAATGGGATGAGCTGTCTATGACATGGCTTTTGTACATTACTCCGCTCGACAGAAGATAGTTTAGGCCCCATTTACCTTTCGAGGCATGCAAGAAATCGAATAATCTTGGGACTGATTTTGATTCTCGGATTCTCTCTACAACTTGAAAATGTACCTAAGAGTGACTGACTACATGTTACATTTATTCTCTTAAACTTCTTTATCGTCCTTGGTTTGGCTAGTGCCACTTTTTTGATTCTCTATTGATAAAACTAGGGGCTGAAATGAGTCGGTCAACTGCACCGATTTCGGATGGGTTTACCTTTGTTGTGTACTTTGGTATCATTATCATTTTTCTCGTGGTTCCGCAATTAGCCGTTCGCAGGTAAGCTATTGCTACCCATCTTCCAGGGTGACGGGGGTGAATTGGACATGGTGAGCGGCAATAGAGGGCCTTTAAACCTTACGGTGCTCATGAAGAATTTGTAGAGAAGATGATGTATGCTTTTATACCAAAAGAATAAGTTGAAATTGTCTATTTCCCCAAACCCCAAAATCTAATCGTCTTTTTTTTTATTTTTTAAACGAAATCAATTTCATATTCAGAACTCTAAGAAAATGTACCCAGCAAACCCAAACATAAACAGAAAACCTCTATGAAAGCATACAACTGGCAGTATAAACTTGAGTAAATGACCAAAATAAGGTATCTAAAAGTAATTCAAGTCCAAAGTTGAGTCAACTTAGGAGAAGCCTGGTTTCCTTTTCCCCTTATGGTTGCTTGGGGTTAGCAGCGCAGCTGGTTCCAACGCAGCACGTAAAGACACCGCTCTGGCATACTGCATTGGCGTTGGCCAGATCATCATGGGGGTATGTATATGCAGCCGCTTTGCAAGGTGCAAAAAATTGGGTAGGACTATACTCGGTAGTAAGCATCCAAAGTCAGTAACGTTTCGTGTATGAAGTAAGAACTGAGACGAGACTAGTCTTCATGGCAGAGTGGACTTACGTAAGGTTGAACCCGTCATTGGAACGAAGGGGATTAGCACAAGCTTTCTGTCCATCATTGTTCTGCTTCTCGTCAGTGCCACCCAAACAAAATCATAGCTTTCTACTTACGGGGCAAGTATTAAGGGAGAATAGGTCCTTGTTACATCCAGTGATAACAGTGTTGGTAGCTACACAAGCACAAGTAATAGGAACTGAGAAGCCGTTGCTATAACACATGGTAAATAAAAAGGTCCTCGGATTCGAAGATGAGGAAAGCTTACACATAGCTAACATCGATATCAGGTACTGCGACGGCGTTTCCCTGTGTATTGAAACTTGCTTCAATGAGAGAATCGTCGCCGGTAATTGCTGAGCCTCCAACACCGATAGCTACGTTTCCAGCCCAGCCTGTTGGTACAGCAAAGGCACCTGTGGCACCGTTGGCTAGGGTGCCGGCAGCCAGGTTCCCGCTTACCGGAGAAGGGGCACCTGAGTTACTTGCATGGGCGGTGGTAATTGCGGCACCGTTTCTAAATATTGACGTCAGATATATCTCTTTGTAATGAAAGCTTTTATCCAGAGTATCTTGGGGTATATAGGGGAATGGGAGAAGTCTCAACTTGCTTATTGATGACAGAAATGGTCATAAACTTCGGTGGAGCGGCAAGTGCCTCCACGTCAGCTACGGCGGCTTTCGTTGGAGCTAGGGCACCACCCATAGGAGTTGCGGTAATGACGTCCTCAGTTCCTGTTACAGAAGGCAGAGGAGCAGGTGAGGCTAACACGGTGGCGGCAAGAGCCGCAATGGAAAGAATGGATGTGGTATACATAATTCTGACTGATATGAAAAAGACGTTTCAAGGAGTGTAAACTGATGTGAAAATGAATAGGTGTTCTGTATTAGCAGCAAGATAAATGAAATTCCGAAGAAACAGTCTTCCTTTATATATTTTTGCTTCAAGTAATGGTTATACGAGCGTTCAGCTCTTTACGAGCTGCACTGAGTATCTACTACTCTGCTACCACCTTCACCATATTCCTGCAGATCAGATAGGATGAAGACAAGGGAGGATACATTATTGCTAGGCACCTACATACACCTCGTACCCCTACTTCTCTCAAATGTTGAAGGTACGCTGGATTATTTTGGCAAGATAACACAGTCAGAAAATCCTGCTGGAATGTGCCTTGCCAGCCAACACTTGATAGCATTTTACAAGCGCGGGTTGTTTATTCGACATACAGAAAGTATACGTAGGCAACCCCTTGCTTCACCGTGACATAAAGCCAAATCACCTGGACGCTCACCTTTTCTTTGAAAATCGATACGATCAAAATGATCACACACACTGAACAAGGTGCAGAGAAGAAAGGAAATGAGGAATCCTCCACACGCCTTTACGCGGCACGGAGTGCCTCGGCTCGAAAGAAATGACATTGTGTCAAAATTGCTGCAGCTGTAAAGATATAACAAAACCTGATATATAATCCATATGAAGAAAGGCTATAGCTGATATTTAGCTGCGAGGCTCAACTAGAAGCAAATTGTATGAAAAGATAGCAAAAGGGAGCAGGGAGGCGCTTGGAGCCAGTGCCGAGAGATGTGCGCTTCTTGAGGCTTATTCAAGCTTCTAGGGTGCTGTTTACCTTTGCCGCATAGGATTATGATAATGACATGATGTTGATACGGTGGCTGGCACTTGCTGCTTTTAAAGCCACGTGACTGCAGTGCCCCTTGCTGGCTATTGAATCTGCCGGCTCGTAAAAGCTCCCCATGCAAGTTTGTCATGCCAGATTTTGTTTCAAAGAATTTGGGTATTTTCCAGGTGTAGGGCGACCAGTAGAAAAAAAGGGCCAGGGATATAGGCTTCGGTATCTCGCGCTTACCAGTAAGCCACAAGGAAATTGGCTTGCATCAGATGGGATTTCGTGCTTTGAAGATCTTCGGCAGTTTGGGACTGAGTAAGCTCACGCAGGAAGAAACGGAGTATAACCTTGCCCTCGATACGGCATATTGGTATAGTAGGCTTCTGTTTGATGGATTGGTGATCGTCGGTTCTCATTTCGGGTAGTACTCGCCGCAAACCCTCTCCTGCCGAATATGGTCGGTCTGAACCGGATCGGTAATTCTTACGGATCGGGTCATGAAATCATAGGCTTAAAAAAGCTTGGGATTCAGCATATGCAAGTAATAGACATCTATTTTTGGCAAGCCAGATATCAAAGACAAAGGAACGTTGCAATAGTAATCTTACGAGCGCACCTAAGTAAACATAAAGGGAAATAGATGTCCGGTAATCTCTAATCGAGACCTCAGCCTCGTAATTCATCAGTTACGAGTACGCAAATCTAGGATCTAAACAACACTTATTTTTTAAGAAGGAAAATGTGCATTTCCCAATCCTTTTTTATTTATTGCCATTAAGTGTCTCCCCGGATCCGAAGCGGCGAATCTATTTGCCAACCCCTATTCCTTAGCGAATCACGTTTCAATGTCAAAAGGACATCAAAATCTGTCACTGAATTACACCACTTTGAAACCACGATTCCGACTTTTAGTCTAGTCTGGCTATTCCTTATTACACTCGATTACACTGGATATCATCTCTCTCCTCAAGAAACCTTCAACTGGAAACACACAGCGTCTATTTATACCATCTTTTATTAAAGATTAGTTACTGCGACTAAAGAGTACCTGTATAGGTAGACCTCGCCATGGGTCCCCATGGGTCCTGATTTAGGACCCAGACCCAAGCTATAGGGGACCGACCCACCCCATGGGTCCTCACTAATATAGGACCCGAACTATAGGTATCCGTGGGGAACTATAGGTAATATGAGTTGGTTATATCTAAATAGAACCATTGTCTCCCATAGAGCATCGAAGTATCCCGAAAAGTATACGCAGGTTATGGTTCTCTACTGTCTACTATTCTGGGCAGAAGTGTTTTGGCGAACCTGTTTCTACGCGGGGTATAACTTGAGTACCATAGACTTGTGTCTTCCCTCTTCAATAACTCAGCAACTTCAAGTCCATATCTCTTGAAACTTCTTCCCATTCGTGATCATGCCGCAAACCGAACGGCTCCAAGTAGAGTACTGTCTTTATTTATTAAAAAGACATCTCCTAGCTCACGCGTCAAAGCGCGTTGAGAGGGCCAACGACCTCGCCCAAAACAAGCAATATGCATACTAATTGAACATCCCATCCATCCCCACACTTAGGAATGTTTAGAGATACGCTGCAAGGATCTCATCATTGGATGCAAGAGAGGGGAGGAAGTGTGACCCCGGAAACGCCCCACTGCTCCGTACGCCCCATGCCAAGTATTTGAGGCTAGCAGATAGATGCATAACAGACAAGGTTAAGATACTCTTGAAACTTTCATTAGCTGAACCTTTTTGCGGATTACTTGCATGCATATGCAGCCCACACAGCCATATTCCACAATTTAAAGAAATAGGGAGGCTGGGAAGTTCTGCTAGATTGCAAGCCCTGAGTGGCATCCGGGTCTCCAGGCCGAACTTGAAACAGGAGACCGTAAGGAAATAAAAACAAATTGACCAGCAAATGGCTATGCCTTAATGTATTCGCGTCTACTATACATCTTATAAAAAGCTGACTGCAGCTATGCTCTCAAAAGCAGCTTGAAGAGGATAAGCGAGATATACCCCTGGAATAAAAGGAAATATTTTCCTTCGTCTCAACTGTTGTTTCTGGCTAGGTTAAGGCCCTTCTTTTTTAAGTTTTCTCTATGAGGTATGTTAGTATGTATCTTCAGGATGTTCGGGTTCCTTTTGAAGTGAACAACGGATCAATTATTTGAGCTTTACAGCGGGAGCAGGAGACTGGACAATAAACGCTACGTACCCTTCACACGCGTTATATGCCCTGCGATCATATACTCTCTTGAGCGAGAGTTGAGATGTTAAACATCTAGCTGATAGAAGTGTATTTCAGATGTCTCTTCAGTCTATCGATGTCGTAGTTCGCGGTACCGGCCAAACGACCCCGCGATAACAATTTCGAGCTATTGTAGCTCGCATATTCCATTCAGATAGTCCCTAAATTGCCTGAACTTACGGATTCCTTTGTATTCCTTTATATGCTCGTATAGGAGCCAGAAGCAAGAAAAAGTCAGTATGAAGGATGAACATAGTCACGTGATCTCTACCAGAGTAAGCTCTGCACGAGTAACTACGTACCTTAGGTAGAGGATAATCAGAGTTTCGTTATTACGTTAAAGAGAGAAATTTGAAGCGTGATATTTATCATCAAACAGGTCCTCACTGATATCAAGCAGAAAAATGAAGGGATATAAAGAATACTGGCTTAAGAGAGTTGCTTATCTGATTGTACGAAGTACGGAGAAGTTATAAGGAGTAGAGTTGACCCTAAATTATCTATTCCAGTAGGGATTAGTCCCCATACGAAATGCTACTAGCTCGCTTGGCCTATCAGGCCTAAGCGCTAAGCAAGAGTTTGATTAATAATTGGTTGATACCGTGGACATCGCGGATTTAATCGCTAAACAGCAAGGGGCTAACAAGGACGGCTGGGGATCTTGAGGCCGAGAGGCCGAGCTGTTAGACAATTTCTCGACGAGCTTTTAATTACTTATATATATCTCAATGATGTCCCTACTATTTCCTCGAGATCGATATCCGACTATTTATCCGGCCCAAATTTCGTGTGATTACCAAGATGGCAGAAAATACCCTACCGGCTTCTCAGAGAAGAATTGTCATTCTTGGCGGCTCTTACGGCGGCGTGTCTACTGCCCATTACCTCCTCAAACATGCTGTTCCTCACCTACCCAATAAAGACTCATATCAGGTGATACTTGTTAGTCCCTCGAAGCAAGCAATGTGTCGGCCCGCTTGTCCTCGTGCCTTGATATCAGATGAAATGTTCGCACAAGATAAACTCTTCGTCAGTATCCAGAAAGCATTTGAGCAATACCCCAAGGACAGTTTCAGCTTCATCCATGGCACAGCGACCGAGCTTGACCACAACAACCGAACAGTCTCTATCAGTCTATCGACCGGCAATTCGGAGAAGCTTGACTTCTATGCTCTTGTCATTGCTACTGGTGCATCGACCCCTTCTCCCCTGTTCAGCTTGAACCGGGACGAAAACTTCCTTCGGGAGAGCTGGACCGCGTTTCGCAAAGCACTGCCAAATGCTAAGAGCATTGTCATAGGAGGTGGAGGTCCAGCTGGTGTTGAGACAGCCGGTGAACTGGGCGAATTTCTCAATGGCCGCGCGGGTTGGTTCAGTTCCAAGTTAGAGAACCCCAAGGTCTCTATCACAGTCGTGACTGCCGCTTCGCAAATCCTACCTCTCCTGCGTCCCTCCATTGCGCATAAAGCGGAGACTCTTCTTGGCAAAGTTGGCGTGACAGTCATCAAGAATGTCCGAATCAAGAACGTGTTGCCAGATGGTGCAGGAACAGACATTGTCGCTACAAAAGCAACCGTTACACTGAAAGATGGAAAAACACTAGACGCCGACCTCTATATTCCTGCGATGGGAATGAAGCCAAACACAAGTTTCGTCAGCGAGACGCTCCTAACCTCCGACGGCCGCGTCGAAACTAATCCCACAACGTTTCGTGTTGATAAAGCTGGTCTGCGGATCTATGCCGTCGGCGATGTGGCATCCGCGGCAAGGCCAGCCGTGCATAATATTCTCGGCGCCATTCCCGTCCTCTGTACAAACATCAAGCGTGATCTGCTCTTGGACTCTGGGAAGCAGAAAAGTTCCGTGGGGGAGGATCGAGAATTCAAAGAGGATACCCGTGAGATGCAGCTGGTACCGATCGGGAAGAGTAAGGGAGTCGGTGCCGGGATGGGGTATCAGGTACCCAGCTTTTTTGTATGGTTGATCAAAGGCCGGGATTACTGGCTCTGGTCGGTAGGCAACTTGTGGAGTGGGAAGCAGTGGGCGAAAGAGTCTTGAGTCTGGTTTTTGGAAGGACTTGAAGCTGTTCGTGCGTAAAGCTCATAATTTCCCCACGATGGCAAATTGCAGCCGATAGGGTATGTTCTCAGCGGCGAGAGATAATAATACAAACCATTAATTGTACTCTTAGAAAACTTCTTCTCATGATTCTTTTTGTAATACTATTCTCGTGAGTGGAATGGAAGTCTGTGTCAGTTAAAACAGGATAGAAGAAAGATACATGTTCAATATATATAAGACCCACAGGCGTAGTCCAAAAACATAAACTGAACCATTATGGAGGTGGAAACGACGTCCAGGGGATTGTTCAGCTTGGACATGTGTCGAGGCCCACTGACGAAGGTAAAGGCCATAACTGTCGTCAATAATAGTACTCAATCCATCGAGTTTGTATTATGGATCGATAATGTCCATCCAGACGTTGTTGGACCAGCCGCTTGAATGCAGAAGTCCGCGAGCTGGAAAGGACATGCAGGTACGGAGGGTCCCCCACAGCCCTAATGATGTGCAGACTTGGCAGACTCGAGCCTCGCAGAAGCAATACCAAAGCTAAATATTTCAATTCTGGCCCAATCGGCTATACATCTTCCGGAAGGGCTGATATGATAGGCTTTGAATTGAACACAGAAGCACCCGCGCAGCTTGAGACGTTGCCTCAAGGTTTTAACGGACTTTGGCCATGTCGAAATCACAGGTATCATGCTTCGATGTCCTATAGGCGTAGATAGTTATTACTAGTAGGAAGTAAAATGAGATTTAAAAGGTCGTTAATACCGAAGTATGTTGTTGTGAAGGGAATGTCTGAACAATATCCTACTTGTAAGAGGTTTGGATTCCGCAAAAATATTTCTCCGCGCCAAGACAAAATTTCGATGCCAATTTCCATCCCAACGTCTCCTCTACTTCTTCCTTTCACACTCAACCATGACAAAATCACCAATCTAGAAGTCCTTTTGCACTAGCACTACAGACTGAATTTTCTTTCGATGGGTCGTCAAGCTCACGACAGACTATCAAATATCGTCAGCAAACCAGGCAGATCTTTTTAATCGGCAAGGCAGGCTCTTACAGTCGTCGTCTGCCCTTCCTTCTTCTGAAAAAGCATGTTTCTGTGCTGCGGGATGGATTTCCATGCCACTTCTTCCCTCATTTTCTGCATGTATCTTCAACATTTGGCGTAGTTCATCTTGTTTAGCTGGAGGTTTCGTCAATAATCGACAACTTTGATCCCATCGACAAGGTTTCTTACGCCTGAAAGATCTAACTTCACCATTGAGAAGTCTCTTTTGTTTCTTCTCCATCTCTTCAATTTCTGCTTGGGCCTCTTCCTTCACAGTCGACAAGTCCACTGCTCTATTCTCCGCGCGTTTCGTGTACATACAGCATTCGACTGTTGTCGTTCTTGGAGATTTTGGAAGGAATCGTAAAATAAGGAAATCTCCCGACGACAATTGGCGAATTGCAGTTGAATTTCCAATTCTCTCGTATTTTTGGCTGGTGTTGAACATAGTGGGCAAAAGGGAAAGCATCCTGGTTCTCATCCTTCGGTGACTGGATGTATCGGAGGAGAAGTATCCAGCTGCGAGTATTAGCGCATAATCTCCACCAGACTATATCTCACCAACCTGCAAGTTTCCAGTTCATCTGGCATTCTACTTTCCATTCCACCGCGCAACGCATATCCTTTGTTTTTAGTGTCTTGAATGGCTTCAAAGAATTTTCGAATCCAACACTCGCCACTTCGCTCCTGGTGTCGAAGTTGATGAAAACCAGCGAGTTGATGACTTCTGTCTTCACTTCCCATAGTGCATTTTTGCTCTTATCAAAACCTGGAACATTCTCAAACTCAGGCGCCTTCACCAACATTCCCTTTGTATCATAGCTCCAGCCGTGATACCTACATCCGAGAACCGTCGAACTTCCACACTCTTTCTTCGTTATTTGATAAGCACGATGGCGGCACACATTTTGAAAAGCTCGCAGCTGGTAGTCCTTTCCCTGAATGACAACGATGGAGAAACCTGCAATTTCGAATGTACGATAATCTCCTGGTTTCTGGAATCTACACGCATGCGTCACATAGAGCCATGACTATGACCAAATTGTCAGACTTTATTTTTTTCCGGAATGAATCTCCTACCTGGCTAAAAATTGCACGTTTTTCGAGCTGAAAAAGCCCATCATCTTCCCACCAATCACTCGAACAGCTTGAAAATAAGTTTGATTCATCATCAAGCGGTGGAACAAGAGTACCCCCCTGTGTTTTATCTTGTTCCTTACCCCAGGTTTTGCCAAGCCACGAGAACAATGCAGGAGGTGTTTTAAAAGTGGGGATATTGAAATGGTAGTATTGAATCAAGTACCCCACAAGTACTAAGATTCCAATCGCCACAGAGAATAAAGTAGGTTCCAGAACTACCATTTTGATGATCTCTCAGTATTTGCGCGGGAATCACTATATGGACCTTTCAATATGCAGGGCAAGCTTACTATCTATATCACGTCCCAGGTACTAGAAGTTAAGAAATGGAAGACTTTTCATCAGAGCACAACGTGCTTTTGGGTCAGAGTTTCCGCTTCGAGAATCGCACCTGCTGTTGAAGTTCCACGAGACTTGAGACGCTCATATTCATCCCACCTTCATTCTCGTACCCAAGATTAGGCATGTAACCTACTCCAGATGTGGTCAGTGTATCCACACTTTAAGCTATTACGGGGGGGCTTCCGGTTCTAGTTTCAAGTACCCCTGTCACGAATTGCTGCCGAGTTGCGTGGCAAGCTCATGAGCCGAGACTTTGTTCCCCAACAAACTTTGTGATTTGAAATGCTCTATCTACATCTCCGTCGTTGCCGTCCTTTGCGTCGCAATGCTTTCTGACACATCTTAGCATGTGTTCGAATTGGGATAAAATGACTGCATCAGGCATAGCTCGAGTAACTACACTGGAAAGGCTATCCAAATTTGAAATCCCGTGATGAGTTGTTCACGTCGCAACGTCGTACGGAAATTCGATGCAGCACTTGGCAGCTCCTTCATCTCCAGCGAGGCATACTCTTCCTTCCTTGAAACTTGGCTTTTAGATATTTTGAAACTTTGAGATACTCTCTACCAGCCATGGACTCTTTAACTCGAACACTCCCAGCTTCCTGGTTCTGTAGTTTGGCTCTTTACCAGCTAGAGAGAAGAGCAGTTTTCTTGAAAGTATGTCTGTTCAACAACTTCTCTCAGAATTACCGATTAACCCCCCGTAGTCATGGCATTTTCTTGGCCCGGTGACTCGCTTCCAGAGCCGATCTAAGAAAGTAACCTGTGAGATTGCTCAAGTCACGATTATAGTCGAGAACAGAAGTCCAGAACACGATGGAATTGACGTAGATGGAATCACTGTCTATGCCGAAGACGAGGTATAGTTTCCACTATCAGAATCTATCCAAGAATTCTAATACGTCCCAGAACATCAAGATCAAAAACCACTTGACACCCAGCGGTTTACTATTTGTCACACTTTCTGATAATACTCCAAGCTTTGAAGATTTCTTCGAGGGTCTCGAGCAATTGACGAACAAAGTTGACTTCACGAAACTTCCGCATCGGCGCAGCATCTCCTATGAAGGCAATTTTAACTGGAAAACCATGTATGTATCGTTCTATATAGATAACACTCTAACTTTTTCAGGATTGACGGGTTTCAAGAATGTCTTCACTGTCAATATAGTAGGTTATCGGGGATCCCTTTGGCTTCACATTGAGGCATGTTTTGGGGGTATGCAGTACTAACCTCTTTACCCAGCCCACCCCACCTTCTCCAAATTCTACCCGCCAACCTTCTACTCCGTAACCAACCATAAGAACTTCAGCCAGCACATGGCTGATCCATCCAAGCAATCCGATGGTCTGTTCCTTTATTTCTTTCCCATCTGCACTCTCAACGTGTACGGTGGTGGGATGTCCTCTTTCCGAACTCTTCCATCTACTAAACCTGGAGTATCAAGAATGGAATTCGAATATTATCATTCTGGTACAGACGAAGTGTTTGAGGAGTACTTCAATTTCGTCAGACAAGTTGCGATTGAGGATTTTGAGTTGTGTGAGAAAGCCCAGGAGAACCTCGAGAGGGGTGTTTATGGAGAGGGGATCTTGAATCCGGTGAAGGAGAATGGAGTTCAATTCTACCAACAAAGGGTTAAGGAGTTAGTATATAAGCAACACGCTTCTGAAAAAAGTGCGAAGGATGAGCGTATTAATGCTACGCAACTGCCCGTTGGAGTAGTTGAGGAGAGCAAAGTTATTGCGGTGCAGTAAACGTTTGGGGGCGGCCCTGAAGATGTCGCACTTTTGACTTCAAGCAAGCTGAAATACTTTGAAAGTCATAATTCGAAACATCATATGATAGTTTGCTCCTTTATGCAAAGAATTTCATTGTTATTATTGGGATCAGATAGTGCACTTTGCTGGCCTAGAAACTTGTCTAGTATTGGTAGCTTTCAGTATTTTGCTAGTTTAGTTTCTAGGTGTCCGGTTTCTATGTGTCTGAGTCTAAGTGTGGATGAGAGGGCGAAGAGGTGAAGCCTCTGTCGCTTAGTCATCTGCGCTGAGGTCATGTGATTATCCACGTGCATATATATCCCGACAGTCATGGTCATGGTTGCCTTTTTATTAATTTCAATATTCAAGCAAAGCTTTTGTACTTGTATTTTTGGTTCTCACATGAATGTCCTTACCTTCCGTCTTCTGCCCTCAAGCCTCTCTATTTTCCCCCAGGTCTCTTATTGTCGATAACAATCAATCAATCCCGCGTCTGCAGTAGGGGTACCCCTGTACACTAGCTGAACGGACATTCGCAAGGAAATCATTTTCCCCTCGAGGTCTTTGATGCGTCTTTCGACAACATATTCTCTGGATTTCGGTTTGATAATCAAAGAAGTCGGCTCCGAATTCATGAGAAATCATGAAATTCCTATTTCAATCTTGAACCGTGTAGCCAGGTCAAGAACCTTGGCACAAAGTAGGTGCGGCTGGAAATTCTTACGTTGATGATAGTTGCATCTACACGACAATTCCATATATCCAATTGATATATAGGATAGAAGAACCAGAAGAGGAGCGTTTCCACTTATTTTCACACCATTATAGCTCTTTGTTTGTGGCGCAGCCGCATGTTCTACATTTCCAAAAAATAGCATTCGGTAAGCTGAAATTGATTCCACATACTTTACCCGTGATTTGGTTTTCTTCGGCCCAATAAAACAAAACAAAACAAAAACCCTACAGCAATTGAAAATATACCGGGATAAAACAAGATATACAGCTGAAAATGCTGGTTTCGATCTTACAATGCCAACACTCAGATATTTGATCTATTTGGAATCTCTGGTGAGGCTGAGCCGTCTGGTAAATAATACGTGGATGTATATATAAAGCATGTTGCACAGAACTGCCGTTTTGCTTCCTCATTCAAAGCTCCTTTCATTTCGTCTTCCTACCCGAACTCCTAACGCCCAAGAACTTCGCCCGCCCGATCAAAAACCACCATAATGGCATCAATTCTCAATAAAATCTTCCGTCGCAAGAAGAACGTCCCCCTTGCCTGCGCCATGTCCCTCGAAAATGAACCCGAACACGTCCACACCGGAGCATGTTTCCTCGATATCCAGCCTCTTTCCATTGTTGAGCTCTTCCAGTCTCAAGGTTGCGCGTCCTGCCCCCCAACTACACCCAAAATTCTCGAGGCAACCATGAATCACAATCTTCTCCTACTCAGCTACGATGTCACTTATTTCAATAACACGGGCTGGGTTGATACATTCGCCAATGTCAAGTGGGATAATCGCCAGCGAGCATACTTGAAGAAGTGGGAACGCAGCACTGTATATACGCCAAATGTCATCGCGGACGGTGTCGCTGATGGCATTGGAGCGGGAGATAACGAAGTTCAAAATATCGTTGACAAGGCTAGAGCAATGAGAAACCAGATGCCGTGGCATATCATCGTTGACACCAATGAGACGGAACTCAGAATCGATTCAGATGGCACGGATGTTGGGATGTTTGATATTTGTCTTGTGACTTATGATCCAAAAATTGAGGTGGTCAAGGTCAAGAAGGGCGCGAACAAGGGGAAGAAGATTACGAACCGAAATTTGGTGAAGGATATCGTCAAGATTGGGGAGTGGAAAGGAGGGAACGTGACAATTGGCTTGCCCGATATGTCCCACACGGAAGGTACGGGGTTACAAACAGTTGCGATTGTGCAAGGAGCGATGGGTGGTCCTATTGTTGCGGCACAGAAGGTCTGAGAGTATTAGTTATCTCTGTGGTCATGTTATATACGGTTTCTCTGCTCTCATTGAATATTTTACTTTCCACTTGCCGTTCAGTTCGTGTATTCCTCACCAAAAAGAATAGGGGTATCATGTGACTCTTCAAATTATAGTTTACTAGAACCTTGAATTTCTAAGACTCTTTACACAATATCCGATGAATCTCGCTGTTCATCTGACATACTGTCCCGGGTTATGAGTCACATACTTAAAGAACAGTTGTATTTGGACTAGGAGTCGGCGGGGGGAAATAAGAGCCTAGAAACTAGCCTTTTCCGCTTAAAATTATATACTTCCATTATAAAACCCCAGAAAAGGTGCAAGAATTCTCCACAGAGCTTTGCAACAATCATTCAGTAAAAAAAACAGAAATGGATCTGCAAGGCCGTATTCACGTCGTTGCCCCTACGCAAGAACACACTCACACCATCATACTTCTCCACGGCCGCGACAGCAATGCTAGTGAGTTCGCCAGTGAATTCTTCGAAAGCCAAGCATCAAACGACCAAACGCTCCTCGAGATCTTCCCCACCTTCAAATGGGTATTTCCCGCCGCAAAACCCCGCATGTCAGCCCGATTCCAGGTAGAAATGTCCCAATGGTTCGATATGTGGGATGTCGAGAAGCACGTGGAGCGGCTAGAGCTGCAAAAGGAGGGGTTGGAGGAATCTCGGTCTTTTATCAACGACGTTATCCAGAAGGAGATTATATCGATTCCAGTAGATCGTATTATACTTGGCGGCATCAGTCAAGGATGTGCCACAGCTGCTGCAACGTCCCTGATAGATGGCAAACACAAACTGGGTGGGTTCATCGGGTTTTCCAGTTGGATGCCTTTCGTGGCGCACACACCAGTACCACATCATACAATTCCAGTATTTTTGGCACACTGCAAAGACGATCAGATGGTACCGGTCGAGAACGGACGGGACTTGCGCCAGGATTTGGAGAGACGCGGTTTGATTGTCACGTGGAAGGAATATGAGGATGGGGGACATTGGATTAATGAACCACAAGGTGTGGATGATGTAGTGGAATTCCTGCAAACGGTTGCAGTAGGTCATTGAACAGCCCAAGATACACATAAAACTCCATAACCATCCCACGACCCAAATTGACCCTTGGCTCGAATCGAAGATACCGGTATACTTGATCCTCGAAAGCAGAGTGGTGTTTTCACAGATTATACAACTACTCAAGATCGCCAATATACATCCTAGGGCCCATAGCAGATAACGAGTCCCTCACAAGAGTTGTGGATGGAAGACATGCTAGCCTAGCGCGGTCCAAAGCCTTCAACTCCGCGGTTGCGTGTTCGATTTCGTCAATCGTGGTTCCTAACCATCTTCACCATTAAGGTAAGATGAACTTTTCGGATATGGGGTCGGAATTGGTGTTTCTGACGCAATAATCTTATTTTATCGGCGGGAGCGAGCGGTAGATTTACGCTTGTGGTGTTTGTCCGCTTGAGAGCCCGAATCCGATTTCTTGGGGGATCTTCTGTCTTCAGGAGACATGATCCGAAGTTGAGCCTTGTGGGATGGCCGAGAGGTAGTAGAGGACCGATTATCGTTGCTAGACTTGCTCTTCTCACTACAACGGCTTCGATCGCTACCTTTTTTGTTGTTTGTACTTTTCTTGGACGGCGTCTCTTCCTCACTACCAAGCAATAGTTTCTTGCCCCCAGCTCCAATCAGTGCAGTTGCCACTGTACCAAGACCTAGCGGAAGCTTGCCTGTAATAAAATAAGCTTCTGGTGTTCTGTCAACCTGAAACTTTTGACTTACCCATTCCATTCTCAGAAGACCAACCAAGATGAGGGAGATGTTTCGAGGTATTTACGACCAAGCTTAAGGACGTTCGCTGCGAGTTGACGTTTGCTTTGATATCGAATCGCTCCCCCTTCTTGATCTCAGACTCTTTTCCTTTGCCGGCTAGTGCAGCAATGCTAGAGGGATGTAGACCGCCAATGGCAAAGCAGCTCCCTTTGCTGTCAGTAGTATCTATACTGAACGTTGGCAACGAAACGCCAAGACTGCTATGCTTCATATTGGCGGTGAGGTAGACTCGAGACATCGTGATATTAAGAAATTTAGCAGTCGTGAGGTGAGGGACAGAGAGTTTGACTTGAAGATTAAAAGGTCATTGTGGATTTATATGCTCAATAATTCGAGACTGATTCATGCATGGGTGACGGGGTCAACAGCGAGAGTCGAAACCCCCTTTGAAAAATTTCATCAAATCTAGGCAATAAGAAACTGGCGATAACATTAGTCTCGATTCCATTATCTTCAAATATCATGCCGCTGACTAGCGCGAAGTCATTTGATGCTGAAAAATGGGGCTCGATTCCTGGTATAATGTTGCGCTGGCATGGTCCCAAAAATGTGGGCCATCATTAACAACAAATACGTACCAGCACCTGGCTCACTTTGCGTTGCCTGAACTTCCAAACAAACTTTGCTGCCAGGATGAACCTTTTGTAACTTTTAGATTCAAAAATCGGGATTTGAAATTAACTTTCATGGGCGGTCTGCAGCCCCAACTGTTGCAACACGTGAGGCTATTGATTGGGATACCCCTGACTCCGAGACCCAGTAGGCATTTTGATGCCTCACTCACCGTTGATCGACAGCGCACTACAAATGCCGACATCAGAAGCTGCCAACTGACATGTGCCACGTTGTTGAGTCCCATCTTAACAGTACGGAGCGTGAGGACTCGGATTTAGAATTGGATGCCACATTTTATTGAATTCTGGTTGATTCAACTTTGGGGGCACTTTCCGACAACAGAGAAGTTTCTCAAAATCAATAAGACATAGATGGTCCTGGTTTATCTTTTAGCTTTGCTTGAATCATGGACAGAACATAGATGACGAACCTCCTTTCTGGACTTCGTCTCATCCAGGAATAACTTAAATCTGCCCGTTATTTCAGAGTATATTTTCCTTGTGTCTGGCTTCCCCTTGGTCCGATAGATCGATGAAACCAGTCGGCATTTCTGTCATCGCAAATTTGATTTTTTTGGGTTAACCGATGTTCACACGAGAAACAACGCACTTACTGGATCCCAATACACAATCTACCGACGCCTGAGAACGACCAGAACCACCTGTTCATCTCAGCGGCGTCTTTCAAATCCTCAACCATCTTCTGGGTTGCAGACCAAAGGATCTAAAAACATGTCTGGATTCTGACGGAGGTATGCGGGGATATGCTCACGACAGTGTGTGCAGTAACTTCACAACCATAATATTGCAGGCATCCGCTAACTTTCGAGCTTCTGAGGTCGACAGCAGGACGTACAGCCCCAGAGTCTCTTTCAAGTTTTTGACCTTACCCAGTCCTCGTATACAAGTCGCCACTAGGACAGAGAATACGGTAGCGGGCCAGGTACTCCTAAGGATGAGCATGACAGGATAAAGAAACAGAATGTCAACATAAAAGTCGCAGTAATCCCAATTTAAAATTGTGCATCACATTGACCGCCACCTCGAAGGACACCTGCCAGTCTTCATTCATGAGCAATTGTTTGTCATGTCGCTGAAAGATGAGTTGCAAGCGACGGATAGGACAATCGCATTTTTAGCACATGAAAATAGAGACAAAGAGCAAGGAAGCTGAAACGTGGTCAGAAAGCTAAGACTGCCACTCGAACGACAATTGGAGTAAGAAAGGAGTCGACAATGGAGAGAAGCATGACTGATATAATGCGACTTGTCGACCAGATATTCGGTGATGGATGAAGAAACTAGCAATGAAAAAGCCGTTAGTTCGGCCACCACACTTGAACTCCAAGGTAATCTTAGACTACGTACAGACTGTACAGTACAGTACTCCGTGTATATATGACAGATATATGAGCCATATTTCCAATCGGTACGATGGTGAAACTCTATAGCATCAGCTCAGGGATCCAAAAGGTCAGATCCAATCTTTTTTCATGGAAGGGAATAAGTATCTGACTCGTGCCCCAGGTCCTGGGCTTCCAAGCTGCTCTCAAATCCACCGCGCGATTCCCAAACTTCCGCGCTATGTCGTCGGCTTCCACCACACACCCAGACATCAATCGAATCACCTCGTATTGGTTCGAGGGCGATGATCTGAGCAAGAAATGATTCAATGGCGGCCCCCAAGTTGACTCCGAGATCCAAGCCAACTTCGGAGATCCCGTTGAGAAGGCTCGTGCAGAAGAACTCACGTTTTGGGCAGAACAACCACAAGGCGCTCTTGCTCTTATCGTTCTGCTCGATCAATTTCCTCGAAATATTTTCAGAGGCTCACCCCTCTCATACAGCTCCGATGCTATGGCTTTGAATGTTGCCTCGACAGCCGTCGCCAAGGGATTCGACTGGAATGTTACGAATCTCCAGCAGCCTATCTTCTACCTCCCATTTTTGCACGATGAGAATTTGGTCAGTCAAGTCGCAGCTGCTTCTCTCAACGACGGCCTACTTTCTCGCTGCGCACCCGGCTCAAGAGATGCAGAGTATGCCGAAACGTCCAGAGCTTCTTCAGGAGCCATGGTGACTGTATTTTGCGATTTAGAAGATTCCCGTCTCGCAATGAGGTGTTGGGAAGGAAATCGACGGCAGAAGAGATCGGAGTATCTCAAGGAACATTCCTCTGGCTTCTGAATCACTGGTAAGCTGTCGAAGCTGGGTCACGGCACACTTATTCCACATACACAGAGATCTTCTCCGGCCTAAATCAGCTCGTTATGTGGCGGTTTGTGTATTTTGTGGTCTCAATTTCCAGTATTTCATTGCCAATGATACCTGACGAAGTTCTCAAATGCTGATGCTAAATCGCAGTTCTCATTTTTTCCCTCTTACGTCTATCATTCCGAGCCGTAAGAATTTGTTATTGCCGTTGTCGCCCAGAGGAGTCGACCTTGATCATTGTCTACTATTGGATCTTTGAAAATATAAACACATTGGAATTCTTTACCACAATTTGCATTTCTAGGAACATGGATTGACGTAAAGACAATTTCTTTGAACGGACTGATCTAAGAGGTCAAGCCAAAAACGAACCACTTTTACTGCTGCCCTAGAGTATCTAAAGATAATACTTGTAAAGCTTGAGAGGTTTAAGCTTAAGGATCTTTCTCGGCCCGAGACCCGTAAAGTACCCACCACAGATCAAAGGTGCCAAGTAGGGTCTACTAATAATAAGACGGGAGGTTTTCAACCTGGGCGATTTGAAATGGAAGATTGCAATTTCGACCAAGTTGAATAAATAGAACTACAACTAGATTTAGTTGGGTGATTCTGACTCCTTCAGAAATGCTTGATCAACCTTACGCTATAAGTGGGTGTGTCCAAAGTTTTGGAGTGAAATCCATGGTATTGAAGAAAATACAGGTCCCAACATGATACAAAGCTATATATACCATGAGCTAACCGCATTAGGGATGAGGGATACTGTAGCATACAGCCGACGCTGAGGCACAGCAAGTCCACATTCCCCCGCTTCTACAGATCGAATGTTATGAAAGGCTAGAGATATTCTGAGAGATATGCTCCGAAATGTAAGACCGGACAAACAATGCCCCATGCCACGGTTCCGCATTCAGCAAGCTTCGACCTGGATTAGGCGCAGCGAGCAGGCGCAGCCTTGGAGCCTATTGAACCAAATGGTCTAGCGAAAAGCATCATGGCATCAGGCAGCGGCGCAGGTCAGTTGATGTAACTTAATATTTAACAAAGGGAAGCCGCAATCTCTTTTCCTACTTCTTCTTCTTCCGCTCCGCTCTGCAAACGCAAAAACATCAAGCAAAAACTACACACATATCAAGCACCTCAAACCTTCCAACTACCTAGTCAATATGAAGTTCACCGTTATTGCCTCTGCGATCGCTCTCTGCACTGCTGTCGTATCTGCCGACTCCAAGCTTGACGTGTAAGTTCCTCTTTAACTATACCAAACACCAGCTAACAATCAACCCCCAAATAGTAAATCAGTAATCTCAGATTTCTACCCCTCCAGCGCGCCCAAAGTCGCAGCCTCCGTCTCTACGGCCCTAGCATCTGCCCTTGCCAGCGTGCAATCGACCTGGACCGACAGTCCCGCGTGGACCTCAGCCAAGAACGCCATCGACTCTGCCGCGCCCTCCAGCGCGCAGTCTTCCATCGAAAAGTCGGGCTATGTGTACGCGCAGCTAACAACGCAGGCGTGGTATACTAAGAGCGTGCCTCATGCCGTGCAAACGGCTATAGCGGGGGAGATTAATGCCATTGACAGTGCGGCGAGCTCAGTCCTGAGTACGGTGACGAGCAAGGGCGATGCGCCGAGGCAGACGGGTATGGCTGTTGCGGGGGTGGCTGGTGTTGTTGGTATGCTGGCTGCTGCGCTATGAGATAGATGGTATGGGCGCGGAAGATGCTACGGAGTGGGATGGTAACGAGAACAATGATTATATTTAGGATCAATGCGTGAGTGAATGTTGCTAGACGAATTTATACCAGTTTTGGCACTGAACTGCTTGAGCACAAAGTAGCTGGAATGCCTCATTTGCTACCTCGAGTGATCGCCACCTAATACCCCCTCAATCGAGAAGTCACAATATCTACTAAAGTCCGACTTGTATGGATTCCTGTCCGCCTCCGGTCATTCGGGAAATCGAATGTTGTCTATAGCGGCCGTCAACCCAAACGGAAGCTCCGGTTCGTGGCATCTCGTTCGTGTGAGGGCGTACGGCGTTGGTAGTAAGAGGATACGAGGCAGATCATGCATGGGAGGCTCACGACGCAATGAAATGCAACCCTATATAATCCTCTCAGATAAGACTTACCTCGCCAGCTCTAATGTATTCCGGGTGTCGACAGGCAACGAAACTTCGTATTCTAGAGATAAGTAGGCATCGCTTCAGGTGTGTTCTTTCAAAGTATAGCAGCTCCTTCCAGCTGACCTGATGCAGATGGGTTGCGTTGTATGATACTGTAAAAGTGAATCTCGGAGAATGTCTGCCGAAACTCTCGTTAGATTGAGTATCGAGGCGAGCGACTTGGTAAACAGCCAAGATTGACTCATGGAACTGATGTAAAAGCGACTACAGGCGTTAGAGGGATGTTTTTATTGGGTTCAAGGCTGCTGCTGTTTAAGCGCAAGCTAACACTGTATTTAATTGGAAAGTTTTCGGGAGTCTGCATGAACGAGCCCGAGACAACAAGGAGATATTGGAACGCAGCAATGCAGAATTGAGCGCAGCAGCTGGTCAGGAGACATGTTTGATGGCTCGGCTCATTGAGCAGCCTCGCTGTCGACAGAAAAATCGGCACCCGTTATAAACAAATCTTTTTGTCCCGCTCCGCCTGGCACGTTATGCAGTGGGAGGAGCTCAATATACAGATGTGGTGATATTGCTTAGTATCCTATGTAGTGAGTACAGCAACATCATAGTTGTCCAACTCAAACTGGAATACTCCACCACTTCCCGCAGCAAGCGTAGTAACAGTCTTCCTCACCACATCACTCACCACCCCATTTTCAAGAGTATTGCTACTCAGCCCATCCGGTGCGTTCAGTACGCTCAACGTGCCTTTTACTCCTTCACTTAGTCCTTCGAAGGAGATGGAGAATGGAACGGTGGAGGTGGAATTGTAGATTGCGGCTTTGAATGTGTAGTGGCCTGGTTCAGAAACGCCTGCTACCCAATATGCGGGGCCGTAATCTGAGTCTGTGGTTACAGGGACAGTGGCGTTATAGCGGTTGTTGGAAAGAAGTTCAATGACGTGATGAGATGTGCTTTTAATCGTCTGGCTCGGGTCTGCTGTGAAAGCTATGAGATTAGGCTGAAAGATGTCAGTGGGTAAAATGTGAGAAAGGGGTGGGGGGGTGAATTTACGGTCCATTCATAAGAATTGAGATTCTGGAAACCCGGCGCGTAGCTCATGCCAATAATCGCATCTCCATTCCTCTCTGCACCGAGACTGAAGATAGCTTCACTCACACTCCCGACCCACGGATTCCACGGCAGTTTTGGAGCATCCCAGTCTACGCCCACAACTTGGTTGTAGACATTTCCTTGGACGCAGGCGTATTCGCCAATTAAAGATTTATACTCGCGTGAGGCATTGTCGAAATGACCGAATTGGGATACGAAGTAGTCGGGACGGCTGTAGGTGTGATAGTCCGTAGCAGATGGATTAGAGGTATTGCTTCCTCCTACAGCTGTATAATCACCGGTCGAGGAAATAAGGATAAGATCTGGGTAAGAAGCGGAAATAGCCTCATAGAACATGGAAAATCGGTACGCGGAATATGTCTCAGCGCCATTATCGTACAAGTCGTCTTCGTTCCCTATTTCAACATACTTCAGCTCCCAAGGTTCTGGATGTCCCAATTGGGCTCGGAGGGCGCCGTGCGTTGAGTGGGAAGGTCCGAGGATGAATTCTAGTTCGTCCAGCGCATATTGAACCCAAGGCTCGAGTTCGCTAGCGGTAAGGATGTGATCGACCTCATTACCTAAATACATGCCACTCCAGACGGCGAGAATGGGAGTGACGGAAATATCAGTGCACCACTATTAATGTTAGTTAGAGACAAAGGCGGTTGATTATGGAAGATTTTTAGAGTGCCACTCAGTTTACTTCGTCCTAGGCGTAACTATTCCGCCAAAGAGGCCAGTGCTGGGGAGTGGGGTTGCTTTGGTGCTTTCACAGTCTTGCACTCCCAGCCGAGTCTTCTATTTTTCATGTCCGGGGTGAGGGGGATAAGGAGATGAAAGCATACATTAAGGTATTCTACGAGGCCAAGACCTGTACATCAAGATCTCGGGGTTAGCATAGCTTGATATGGTACGTTTGGGGATCGGAATGTTGTTTTAAGGGTCAGAAGACATTGTTCTTGAGATATCCGAAGTAGGAAACCCTCCTCCGAGACGCTGACTTACCATCTGTATTCTGATAGCCCCATGTTCCCGGACGGCCTGGGCGCTCAGTGAGCGGTCCAATTGTCTCGTTCCAAAGCCAAGGGTGGTGGTAGGCGTCTCCTTCGCTGTGCATGGTAAGCTCTGAGTTCCTAAAAGCAGGCGCAGCTTACATGTTGTTTCCGCCAGGGATCCTATAAAAGCTTCCCCCGAGGTCTTTCAATGCTTCCATCAGATCTGGTCTGTTACCATTAGGCCGATTGTTGTAGGTTGGAGGAAACAAGCTGATGAGATTGAAGTTCAAGGACCCAGCTTTGGAATCGAATTCAAGAACAAAGGTGTTATTGCTATTTGGTGCAGCGATCCTGGGCTCTAACTCAAACTTGTGTTCTGTCCACTTCTCCGGGGTTGCAGAAGAAGGAATATCCAGACTAGCAAAGACCTCATCTGTAAGGTCCGATTGCAGTTTGACGGTGAACTTCCCTTTATATGATCCCAACGCCCAGAAGCTACCAGTATACTTTTGCGGTTTCACATCAATGCCCCACCATCCTGGATTGAGGAGACCAATTGTGCCATTTGTCGAGTTCGAGGCAACATTGATTGACGTGGGAAGAGATTTTGATAGAGGTACCGAGGTGTTCTGGAGAGTCAAAATTGCATCACCAATTGAGACCCATGGCGTAAGTGTTGACGGATACTCCAGGCTTCCCTGAAAGGCTCGGTTCTGAATCAACTCTGCGTAGATTCCACCATCTCCAGAGTGGTTGATATCCTCAAACATGAGGCCATATGTAAGGGGGGAAGAGGCATTGCCCCCAGTAGCTGAGACATTGAGATTGATGGCACTGGCAATACCAGCCAACAGTGCGAAGGAAAGTAGACAGGACATTACGGTATGGATACTTGAAAAGACTTGAAGACCTACTGCTCGAGAACCTACTGCCTTTGGATATTTATATATTTGAGCTACCCACCTCCATCAACCCCTCAATCACCAAAAACATCATTCATCATGAAAAGCCTCTTCCAGCCCTAACAAGGTAACAATTAACCCGAGAGTGCTTTCGCCACCAGGCGCGAGACTCGGTGTTGTCTTTCTTGGAGCCGAAGTTGTGGAGTAGGGGAAGGAGATGCCAGAACATGATTGAAGCGCGCATCGAGGATATATGCAGGTCGGAATTACTATAAGGCTAAGATGATGTGTCCGGAGAGACGGGGTAATTGTACTTGCGGGGTGATGATCTGACAGATTGCTGTGGCCAGTTGCAGTACAGCAGTATGAGGGGTAGAGAGAGACCCACCAACTAGAAGTAGCAATTGGATCTGGAAAGGATTGGCTGAGGTGAAGCTATTCGAGATCTGCCTGTCCTGGCCTGGGGCTGGAGGTCGCATTACACGAGAGGTGGGGTAAAGAACGAGTTTGCTGCACTGTAAATTGACATCACGAACGCGTGCGCTCTTCAAGAGCGTCGGAACCAATGAACCTCCAAAACAAATACAGAGCCACCAGCACAAATGCACAGAGAAGCAAGCGACGACTCACCACCGTTAGTCTACAAAAGAAAGAAAAGGCGAGGGATCTTTATGTTCTTCCAGGTTTGCCCTTCATCTCCTCTTCATTTCAACTTCACCTCTTGAAGGGAAGAATCCGTCGTAGAATTATCATCAAATCACCACCGATACTCAACCCGAATATACATATTCTCCTCCCAAGCCAAGTCGCCAGAGAGAGGAGAGCAGAAACATCCTCAGCCTCACATTGAAGCTTTTGATAATGGTGTTGTTGATAATGTTGTCGCGGTATCTTCCCTTTATCACGGGACGGATCGCTGATGCTGGTGTCGCAATGCAAGCAAGCAATTTCCCCAGGGGCCAGGGCACTACTGTAGCTCCGGGCCGTTCCATACTGGAACCCCGACCCGATCCCACCCCAAATCGCATTACCCGCGCGTTCTCTCTTGCTCACTCCACCAGCTGAGCTCTCTCTTGCTTCAACCTTCAACCTCACCTTTCTGCACCACACTCTCTTTACGTTGCCTTCCTGCGTTCGAATATATCCTAGTGTTTCCACTTCTGCGCCTGCGCCTGTGAGCGAGTTTCCCTTCATCAGCTCGCCTTCGTTCATGATTGCCAAATCTTCAGCCTTGCCTTATTCTGCACCCATCCCGCGTCTAGCCTTTCAATTGCAATTGCCCAAGCCCATAATCTCCACCCTTCTTCTACACTGCAACGCTTCCAGCTTCTCTGGCGATCCTTCTCTACTTCAGGCTTTGTCTCAGTTCAGTTCTGTCTCCAGTCAATACCGGCTCAGCTGCCCTTCGTCCAGGAGAGTGAGCACCCGTAAGTTAGCCAATCAGTCCAATCAACATATATGAGAAGCTCTCCCTAAAAGCACATAGCATGCTTCTTCAAATGCCAACCTCCGAATGCTCCCAACTTGCCCTCATCCATAGCCTTTCTCCCGAAGACACACAATCGCTCGTCTCGTACGAACCGAAGAAATGGCCTCAGCTAGCGGCCCGATAGCACCATTCAGCCCCCAGAAAAATATAAAGGATGTGGAATGTGAGATTGAGCTTATCATTGGGAATCTGAACCATGAATGGGAACTTAATATACCGATGCCAAAGGAAGTGAAATCCCCGGAGAAAAGAGGCGAGAGCAGAGAGCAGAAATGTTTTAACATGATTTTTTTCCTGGCCTTCAAAAACCAAGTCATACCTCCTATCAGAGCATTTATTCTTGATGCAGACAAGCTTTATAGTAGATGGGTTATTAAGCCTAAAGCTGAGCGTGGAGTTGTCCCAGAAGTGACTCGGCACAGACCAAAGCCGATCACACCGACGGAACGCTCCAAACTACTAGAGATGCTTTCTACTCTCTTATTTGAGAAGTCCGAAGAAATCAAGTCCCAGTATGCCGCATCCCCGCTGCGATGGAGGAAGTCTACTCAAGATGAAAATGCCGAACAACCGAAATTGGACGATAGCCCAGTGCCGTTTCCAGGACTGAGACAGGAACCACCTAATAAGCGTGTGAGGGAGGGGCCAATTGAGACTGGCCCTTCGAAGAAGGTTAAGACCCCGGAAAAGACTGAAGTCCTCGCAGCCAAAACTACAAACACAATGCTTCCTCCACCGCGAGGAAGGTCTGTAGCACCGGAATCTAAAAGCTGGAGAAGCGCTGATACTTCATTTGAGTCGAATGCGGTTTCAAGTGTATTCTCAGAGTCCATGCGGTCTGTCCAGCCGAATACTCAGGAGACAGTGCCAGACCTTGAGGAGACCTTTTATCAGACACAAGAGGCCGACCGAGAGGAACCGGGAAGTGCCACCACACGCGAAGGAACTACACACGAAGGAAATCACACGAGCTCCGAATTTGGTGTTTGCAGTAGCTTTGAGGCTGCTCTCGCTCAGACCTCGGATCCTAATGGCTTCTTCCAAGGCAGTGAATTTACGGAGGCAGACGTGGAAGATGAGCTCTCTCAGGATGTGATGGACATTGCAATCGATCCTATTCATGAGCCAAGGGGAACGATCTCAAATGAGGACATCCTAAAAGAGCGTCTCGAAGATGTTTTTCGTGAGCACACATACCTGCTCTCTCTTTTATTACTTACGATTAATAGCACCCCTACCGCCTGTCTTGAATTACGTTTCCTTTGCAAAACTTTACGAGATCACGCGAGTGTTCCTATATGCCGGGGTCTCCTTGATAGATGCCGAGCTTCAAAGTCTCTCCTTGAACGATGACAATCACGACTATGAGCTTCTTTGGAAGGCCCTCAGAGGTCTACCGGTCTTGCAAGGCAAAGAATTCCCGGAAAAGAGTGAGCAGGTGGCTTGGAATGCAGCTCAAGGTAAGGAAGAGTTTCAGAAAGGACCGCGCGGCCTCGTCTTCTCAGGATCTCTTCGATTCAATGAATCAAGCCCTACTGGTCCTTTCTTCCGGTTACAATTAAAACCAATGAAACTTGATCTGAGTCATCGTTTAGGCAGACGCCTAGGACCTGACCGATTTCTGGACCTAGATATGCCCCATCTTTCGGGACGCGGTGTACCTAAGATTCTCCAAGATCTTGGCGAGCAAGGTCGAGAGCTAGTTATTAATCATTTAGTAGATGGCACTCATCGCCTCTTTGGACGTACCTGGAAACCATTTCATTGCAAGCCTAAAGACACCAAGGAACTTAAACGCGATATCCTAAAAGACTTCAATGAAGAGGCTTCTTCTGCGACAGCCCATCGCGTCTTCTTCTTTGCTGTCGATGGAGAAGGCTTTCGAATTGTCAAGCACCCACTTCGCGATCCTTCATATCCCGACTGTCATGCCAGGATAGATATTCCAGCTTTGTTGAACATGGTGCGACCAACAAGAAAAAATACCCATCAGAGCTATTTGAAGCTGTTTTCTCGTACTTCATTAGCGCTTTCAAGGAATACTGCCACGGTGGTTCTTCAGAGGTCTCAGGTCTTTGACGAACCAGATATAGTCGGCCCTAATAATGAAGATATGACAGATGGTGCTGGCCTCATGTCGTATACCCTTGCGCAGAGTGTTGCGAGAAAGCTCGGCCTTTCATATCTTCCTTGTGGTTTCCAAGGCAGACTGGGGGAGGGTAAAGGTTTTTGGACGGTAGATCAGCGTGATCGGAGCGGAAAGGATTGGATCAAGGTCTACCAATCGCAGCAGAAGTGGACACGCAGCCAGAAAAGGGGTGGTGAATCTGATGACCCAAGCCACCTTACATTCGAGGTTAACAGGCAATCAGGCCCTTTGCCGTCTGCCGCACTAAACCTCCAGCTCTTGCCTCTTCTCGTAGACCGAGCTATTGATAAGTCCCGCATGAAGAAAGCTATCGCAGAGTTACTTCGACAAGGTCTCAAGCAAGCTTTGACAGATCTCCAGGCTGGCATGGGCGATGCCCCCTCTCTTCGAGAGTGGACTGGCGAGAGTAATAATAGCATCAAGGAGAAAGTAAAAGCTGGACAAATCCCTTTCCGGGCAGGCATGCCGTCGACTATTGAAGAACGGCTCAACCTAATGTTAGACTCAGGATTTCAACCGAATTCTCTTCCTTTCATCCAAGAGATGACGCGGACGCTCTTTAAAAACAAATGCGATGAGCTTAAAGATAGGCTTAATATCACTGTGGGGAAATCGGCCTATGCCTATATGGTCCCGGATTTCTGGGGTGTCTTAGAGCCTGATGAGGTTTATATCGATTTCTCTAGCTTCGTGGATAACGTCTCTGGTTTTACAGGCGTGCGCTTAAATGGTGATGAAGTATTAGTTGCACGCTCCCCTGCGCACTTTGTGTCTGATATACAGAAAGTGAGAGTGGTGGTGAAAGAGGCACTAATGGGGCTTCAAGATATCATAGTATTCCCCACTAAAGCCTTCCCAGGGGAGCCGTCTCTTGCGCAAAAGCTTTCTGGTGGAGATTATGACGGTGACCTTGCATGGGTGTGTTGGGAGCCTAGTATCGTCGAGAATTTCCAGACTGCTAAGGTTCCTGATATGCCTGACTTGGTGAAAGAGGGCTATATCACGCAGGACTCGACAAAATACAAAGATCTAGTTAAGGGGCAAAAGGATCCCGTATCATATTTCCTCCGCAAGGCTTTTTCTTTCAATATGCAAGAAAGCATGCTAGGTATCTGCACAGCCTTTAAAGAAGCAGCTTGCTATTCCGATAAAAGCGATTTTAGCCTGAGCAGTCATGCTGCTATATATATGAGCACTCTCCTGAGCTCTCTTGTGGACCAAGCAAAGCAAGGATACTCGTTTGATGAGGCTGCGTTCAAGCGATTCAAGGCCGAGTGTATTCATATTATGCCGAGTAAGCCACTTTACAAGACGAAGCATCTAGACTCCAACGCGAAGCATATTATTGACTATTTGATGTATGTTGCTCATGAAACCGTCGAAGCAGCTCTCACCGAATTCCACCAGGGACTCTTAGAAGCTCCTCACTGGGACGATGATCTAGCAGAGGATTACAAGATAGCTAGACAGGAGGCAGCAACAAGCGATGAATGGAGGAGGGTTCTGGACCAGTTAGATGCGGATCTCAAACCTATCAGGGAGGAGTGGACTCAGCATTTTTCGCGCCGTCCCAATAAGGGTCTACTAAGTGAAGAAAGCGTGCCGACGTTCACTCCAATCCGGGATAAGTGCTTTGAGCTTTACCAAGCAATTCAACCACACGAAGACACCCCTTTAACGCAAGCGCTCTTCCCCAAGAACCATCGTCGTCATCCCGATAGCACAGAATGGGCGCTTCTTAAGGCCTCAGCGCTGTTTTCACTCTACCGCAAGGATTATAAGGCGGCCGTGGTGCCAGCATTTGTGTGGTGGATGGCCGGCAAGCAATTATGTACGATCAAAGCGAATTGCAGCAAGAATGGCGCTCCTCATGCTGTTACGCCGGCTATGATGAGGTTCTTTAAAATGAATAGGACGATTGTCAAGCTTTCAAAAGCTGCTGGCTCTTCGAATAGGGTGGATGAACGGGATATAGAGGACGATGAATGAAGGAGATTTTGATTGAAGGATGGAGGACGGAAAGATACCATGCTGTTGGAGTTACTGTCTTTTCTGGCGTTTATGAGCTTGGGGGCGTTATGCTGAGATATCCTTGCAGCGTTGACTTTCTTGCTTGGGGAGGGAGGGAGGAGATTAATGATGATTGCCTATTCTTCCAAGTCGTGTTTCTACTCACTGCCCACGTGGCTCATTCCAAATACTAGTCGGTGATTGCGCGAGCTTCATTCCAACTGCCGTTCAATTGATATCTAGTTCTAGGTAGGTAACGCTTTTACCGGAATGCTCTACTCTCTTCTCTTCGACTTCAAGTGTACGCGCAATCACAATCACAATCACGACGGGATGGGATGGATGATGGAATAAGGTTATCGTTCCTAAGTGAGGGGTCGTTTTCCTTATCCTTATCGCGGGGCGATCATTTTAGCAGGGTGACGGCGGGTGATGCGATGCGATGCGATGCGGTGCGGGCGGTTGCGGTCGGGGTTTCACGTTCTAGGGGGGAGTCCCTGCATCTAACGCGGCGGCGGGATGACG